GACGTTTTGTCCTTCCATTTATTTATCAAGTCCCATTCATACCAAGACCATAATTTTTCTCTGTGGTCTATAAACTTCTTAATAACCCATCCCAACTATAGGGATCTCCCATTTTCCTTGTACTAAGAGTTAAGAAACAAGTTAGATAGTTCCTAGAGAAGAATATTTATGTTGGCATAAACCAGCGCTGCTGCTGAAGGAGGTCGTATCCCCTTTCTTTTCCCAAGTGTTTTGCTAGCTGTTTAATGAACCAGATGAGGAATTTACCTTTGGTTGCAATTAATCTAGAAGACAAAGTGTTTGTTGCCTCAAACTGCTCATGGGACTTCAGACTTGCACATAAAAGGGGAGGAGAATATTAAAGATGTTAGAAACGTGATCACTTGTCTATTGGGTCCTCTTGCGCCTTCTGTAAGGGATGCACCCAACTGATTTTAAGCAAAGAGCTTGTCTGTAAAGGGAATTAAGTGCCTGGTTAAATTTGCCATGTAGTTCGCAACTCTTCATCATCAGGTGCCCGAGTGGATGCTCTTGCTTTTGCATGTGCTTCTAGTTCAGTTCCCTCCAGCACTGACAGTGGAGGGAGCTGAACATGGTGGAAGCTGTCTTGTATTTGCTTGCCATTAAACTCTTTGCACAGGGTACCAGTAGCTAATACACATCAATTTTGTACAGGTTATCATGAGCTAGCTTCCTTTAGTAGAAAAGAAGGGGAGGTGAGGGATTATTAATGCTCCCGTTGATCTCGGCTGTTCACCTGCTTAGCGTGGGTTTGTTTGACAGTGAAGTCAGAGTGTGCAAAGGTAATTTTGGTCAAGGGAGAAAGATGAACAAACTATTAGTGGAAATACTTGCCCTGTATATCTTGTTACTTTTTTTCTTCCACTTTCCAAAACAAGTTATCATGGAATAAGGTTTTACTGGTGTGGCTGGGAAGATCTGTTAGTGTTTGTGAAGCATGAAAACTGCCAGCAGCTGTTGAATCACCAAATGTTACTTCTCGTACCCTTCCCCTTGAGTCCCCACAGCACGAGGGGTTCATTGTCCTTATCCCTGGAGGAGGAGAGGAGGCTGTTGATAGGTGTTGAAATCCACCTCAGTATCAGGGACTCTGTGTACACCAAGGTCCTGATCTTCCCCTCTGCATCCAGCCCTCCAGATCTGCTCTGATATGAAGGTTTTTTATTTGTAGTCATTTTCTGAATAACAAGTTCCCCTGTCCTCCCTCCAGACCAAGGACTTTGTCTGTCATCTCCATTTTCTGTTTTCTCCCTTTATTTCAGTTTTATTTAGGGGAGCATTCAGCTCTGAGCATACTCATTTTGGCAGGGAAAAGAAGTAAAGGTGAAATGGGGTTATGGTTATACAGGAAGGTGTTAATGGGTACCCACAACCAGGTCTTTAATCCGCGGTTGTGCAGGTGTTTGAAAGTTACAGCTTTTCTAACCAGATGATGGGGTTTCCACATGTTCGTACTTTTTCTCTTCTGTTTCAATTTTCTGTCTTTCCCAAATTTATTAGAAATATGGGACTGATGTATGGGACATTTCCTGAAATGCTGGAGTAGATAGAATAGTGTTCAAAGGATATTGTATGAGGCCCAGACAAGAGCCTGTTCTCCAGGAAAGTGCAGGACTTAACAAATTGGCTAAACTCCACCAGAAGCCTTATAATTGTATATACAGTGACTCATTCTTTCTGACACATGTCTTCTTCCCATGAAAAGTCTGTATTTTTGAGTCTCTAGCAGATGGCACCGTGGTTTAATTATACTTGATTCTTTGAAACAGTTTTTCTTTTAAAATAGTGCTGTACAATTTTTTTAGCTCTGTGCACAGAGTCCTGATGTTTTCTCCACCACTTACATGTGTTCTATGAAGGCTTTAGAGAGCTACTATATTACTTTCCAGAGAGATCAAATTTTCCGAAAAGTTTGAGAATATCATTCAGATTTAGAGGTTTTTTTGTATATGTTCCATCACATTTTCTTGGCCAAAACCTTACACATAATAGCTATTATGCAGGAAAGGTGCTTTGTGTTTTTTCTTCCCTTATGTGAAATTTTTAAAAACGCAAAACATTATTAGGTTATTACATGAGTTAGTTAAATGAGTGATGCAGGTCCCACTTGAATGGAGATGCTATTTTACAAAGGAGATGATAGTATACTGTTGTTTAAAAAAGCAAAAAAACAACCAAAAAAAAACCCACAACCAAACAAAACAACCAACCAACCAAAACAAAACAAAAAAAGAACCCAAACAAACAAACAAAACCACAAAAAACAAATAACACAAATAACACAACCCAAGAGCATCTCATGTTCATCATCTTTGGTATGTTACAGGTAGGATTAGAAGAGTGTTGTAAAAATGATCCTTATTCATGTCCCAGTTCAATGAACTCTTGTCAAGAATTCTCTCTATATTTTGAACAGAAGTAATTTAATTTATAATTATGCATGTTCAATGAATTTCCAAGATGATTGAAACATTAGTCGCGTTCACTAGTTTACTTCTATTCCTTGCCAATTAAGTGTTCTGGGAAATGATGGATTTTCTACCACTCTTCAGCCTTTCCTACCACTCCTCCCTGATCTGGTATTCCTGGGCAAGTCAGGTGTACACTGCTCAATGTGATCCATATATTATTTACAGTTCCTATGGTTTCAATACAGAGTTTGTTTCTCAGTCCCACAGGCTTCTGCTGCAGTTCAGGCACCCAGGCTGCTCAGGCTGCACTTCACACACTCCTTAGTTTCTCCCTGCAAACTGGACATCAGTTTTCTTCTCTGACACTCCCACCTCATTCCTTAGAACAAGGAGGATAGTGTGTGATTCCTCTGAGCGCTTACTAAGGAACTGGCGAAAAGCCAGCATAGAGATCTGGTCATTAATATTGTTATGATACATGAAAAACATCTTGAAAGGGTAATAAATAGAGAGTGGATTTGAAATGTTTTGCGAAGTTTGTGAAAATAACCACATTGATACATCATCAAGATCCTATAAATTCAAGAGCTGGAATCTGAGAAGTGAGGTTTCTATAGGTATTAACACAAATCACAGTAAGTGCTGACCAAGGATGTGCAAAATTACTTTCCAATTTTTATATTTTTAACATTCTCCATTTCTTCTAAGATTAACACTAGCAAAGAGTTTTGTGGTGACTGGGATCTGATTATTCGAAACAAAACACCTGTGCTTCTTTAAACTGGGATTCCAATCAGTATGTACCCATTAAAGAGAGATCTGATTTAAAAACAAACAAAAAAAGATGCAGAACAAAAGTTTTGATCCAGCAAGATTTTGAATACTCTGGCTCAGTTCCATGTCACACAAACACAAGCTGAGGTTTAATTGTATGAGTTGACTTTGATAGAATTGCTCATGTCTATAAAATGCTTTGTGCTTAATTTTGTTAGTGCCAAGTGCTTGGCACCTATTAGGGTTAAGACCTTTGATCTTGTTCCTTTTAAAATGTGTGGTAGTTTAAAATTATGAAATGCATCAATTTTTCAGGAAAACCAAGGAGGATACGTGCCAGGTTTCTTCAATATGTATTGATAATGGAAATAATATAAATGGAATAAAAAAGAAAGTCAGGACTAGTTTAGAGTTGCTTATGAATTATCTACATTGAAAGGAGATTTCTTTTTGAGTACCAGGCCAGTACTTCATGTATTTATTGAAGGAATTTGTGTATTAAGTTTCTGGCTGCAAACCAGCAGTGGTGATTCACTTCTGAAATGACACAAACATTTTGATTGAACTGATATTTTACCAACTCAGTATGTTCACCTGAAAATAGAGGCATTTGATTGGAAGACAAATACCAATTAAGTAAATGCAAGTTAAATGCTGAAAAGATTCACACAGGTACTCAAATCTTGTATAGATAGGGAAAAGAAACAGCTTTTCAGTAATGTCTAATTTAGAATGAACTCATTTAGTGTCCCAGCTGTTTACCCTGTGTCAAGTAATGCTACTGGACCAGCAGAAAAGCCAGAATCATAAATTATGATCAGAAAAGTTCTTGAGTTTTAAACTTTTAAAGTGTGTGTGCATAGAGTAATGAAAATGTTTTTGGAAAATAAAATTGTACGCAAAAAGTAGAGAAATAAAAATACTTGAAAAGTTAATTTCCTGAAGTTTTTCTCAACAAATTACAAATGAGAAAGTTAATGTCATGGGCATGCAAAGTTGCATTAATAATTATCAGTTACATATTTTTAACAAGTTATACTACTCACTGACTTATGAAATTGATGTTCTGCAAATTTGCCACTTGGTGGTGCTAGATTGATTTATAAATCACAGCTGTGAGCTAAGATGAGATGTTGGAAGTTGTACCCGAGGAGTGTACACTAAGAGGTAAGTAAAATTTGGTTGGAAAACTTTGCTACAATGGCACTGGTGCATCTGTACTCAGCAGCGGTTCTGGCCTCCATCCCCCAAGCCCCAGATCTCGAGTCCCTCTGTCCCTGCAGTACAAAAGAGAGTAAGTACATAGCAAAGCTACAGCTGTGAGGACAAAGTTTCTGGAACATTTCTCCCATACCACGCAGCCAGCCAAAAATAGTTTGGATTCAGCGATATTCCAGGCATGGTGCAGAGGATGGCTTTGGGGTTTCTGGAGGCAACTGCACATGTGCTGCTCGCAGTAGTATTTTTGTAGGTGTTTGACTGGTGTAATTCCTGTCCAGTTGCCAAAATCTTTACACATTTATCACTGAGTTTCCTTGAGTTTAAGGAAGGGCACAGGAGGGACAATGATTATCATAAATGTAAATGTAAACAAAAAGACCCATGCGGTTAAATTAACCTTCCTCTATCTCTCAGTTGCGGAGCTGCTCTTCAGCAGACTTTAAGTTACTATGTTTTGTGAAAATTTTTCAATTTGTCACAGTGTTTCAGTGTTATCAGAGTTTAGCGTTGAAGTATGTTTGCACTAGTCTTTATAACTTTTTTTTTTTCTTTCTCTCTCTCTCAATACTGCAGTTCCAAAAGAATTGGTGGAGCTTCACTTGAAACTGATGAGAAAGATTGGGAAGTCTGTCACAGCAGACAGATGGGAAAAATATTTGATCAAGGTACAATATGCACGTTGTATTATTCTGCAATGCTGGAATATGGTTATGATGAGCTGTTGTGTCAGCAATCCCTGGTATGAGTTATAGTGAGCCTTGGGCTGTGTTGTGGCCAGCAGCGACGTGCGTGCCCAGACTTCAGTTGCATAAGATCCCAGCTTAACTTTCTGCCTAGGCTTCTCTTAAAAAAAAAAAAAAAAAAAAAAAAAATCTCTAAAAATAGACAGTATCTTCTGCACATAAGAGAGTGTACACCTTCATACTTGGTAGTAAAATACTTTTTTGAGCATTAGGACCCTAAATAAAGAAGAAGATTTAGTAGCCTACAAATGGGCCAAATCAGATTTACACAGTAACAATTCATTTGTCTATCAGTTGTCTGATTATAATTTAATTATTGTGATTTGGTTGGTATTCATACAGGGACTAGCCATACAGAGTTCTTGTAGCATGTGTTAATAATAAATGAAAGTATTGCAGTGATTTATGTCTTCATGCTCAGAATGGCACAGCTAAAATGAAAATGTAGTTATGCATCAGTAACAGTACAGCATCCCACTGTTGTACCTAATTCTGTATTGGTATTTTAATTGTGGCTATGCCAGTGTTGGTACTTTACATGCAAATAGTTTTCAATTTGAAGAATTTACACTGTTTCATAAAACAAAAATATATGGATGTTCAAAATCAAGATGTTACCATTTCACCTCTGGATATGTTCCACGTATCTCTTAATCCATAGAAATGTAGTCTTGGTAATGTCTGTACAGCCATGATCTCATCTTACTTAGAAATAGAGCATTATGGTAATAGCAACAATACAAATAATGGCACTTGGCACATCCAGTTGCAGTTTGCCCCCCTTGAGTGCTATTTGTAAGCTTTACAGAGGCAGGGATTTGTCTTGAGGTTTGTGTATTTTTAAGATGATGATGTTTTTAGGATTGGGAGTATGTAATGAAATAACCTGCTGAAGGCCCTTAGGTTAAATCTAACCTCTCAACCAGTTGTATATATGATGATGTTTTAAAAGAATAATGTAATAATTTATACAAAGTACACAAACATTACATATTACCAACTACTGTAGTTACTGAAATGTGTTAAATTCCTTAATATACTGAAAAGCTAGTGCGGCAAGCTGAGAAAACCCAGTTCTGACTAGTGAATTTATGTACCCCACTGAAGCCACTTACCACTTGTGTAGTAAGCAGAAAGCAGAGGGAGAAAGCAAGTTTGCGAGGGAGTAGTTTGGAAAAATCTTCCTTCAGCAGGCATTGAAAGGATGGGAGGGTGGTGAGGAAACCCACCCACACACCCCTGTTAAGATCATGTAAGCTGTAATAAATCCTACTTCATTTAAGTCTTCAAAGCTAACTTGAAACTTACTCTAGCCAGTGGTTCAAAGGAACCTTAAACAGTGGAATTTGGATATAACTAATTAGAGAGGTATGCTAATCTTGTCCCCATTTCAAAGGGGTATAATTAATTTAGAAAAACAATGAAGAGTATTGAGAAATGCCACAAAAGCCAGGAAAAACTCAAAAGGTGTGGAACCACTGAGAGCATTCTTCCTAGATGCCCACAATATTATCTAACCTATTACTCTAAGAGGCAATGTTGACCTGCTTTTCCTTCATTATAAACTACTAATGTGTTGCTTTGATAAAACGGGGCTTGATACATTCTAGATGTGACCATTTTCTTTTCTAATTTAGGAGGAAACTGTAAGTGGAGGACATCCAAACTTACATGCTCTTAATATTGTGCATGTGTATATTATTAATGTTCTGTTTATATACCCACTGTTTATAAGATATGCTTTATTTGACTGCCATGCTAATAAGGAGCATCATAAAAAATTCTCTAAGCTGTGGCTGGTGTTTGGACAGATGAATATATTTTGGGCTCGGAAGTGAATGTGGCAGTTGAGAGTTCTTCTCCTTCCCTCTTCTGATGGTGAACACCCAAGCTGGCTCACCAGCACACGCACTAGTCTTTTGGGGAAGAAAATGACTGTAGGGCTCCAGGAATCTGACTTTTCCTCTGTGCAAGGAATGTATGTGGTCGTGTATGACTGAGGTGAAGAAATAGCTTGTCCTAAATGCTTTAGCAAGTAAGAGGAATTGTCCAGCTTGGCTTTTTTTGAGAAACATGTAGTTGAGTTAATTTGGATTGCACTGTCTCCTGGCAAAATGCTTTGCTTGACAATTCTCAAACATATTTTGCGTTTTTATACAGATGAGATTTCTCTGGACTGGTCTGTCTGGAACCTTCAACCACCAAATCAGCACGTTCTGAACACACTGTCTTTTCCGATTGTTAGAATTCAGGTGTCTGTAGTCTCACCCAAGCAGACTCCTCTGCTGTGTCTTTCACCTTCCTGTTTTCCTTATTTAAAGTGAGCATTTGAAGCATGGTAGTAGTTCAGATGCCACCGTAGGTGCTTTGGGCGTATTTGGGAGAGAAGATGTTTCAGCCTCTCTCTTGCAGGGTAGGAAGGTGCTGACCACTCTTCAGCATGCAGAAGCCAGCTGCTCCCACAAGCAGCAGGATTTTCATCAGTGTGAAATGTCCGCTCTACGAAGGCAGACACTAACATTTCCACGGAGCCTGAATCAGGGAGATCTGTAGTTCAGGGTTGTGACAGTACTTGTCAGGAGAAAGCACAATCATCTGGTTTTTAATTGTCAAAATGTAGACATTTCAGTTTGAAAAGATGCTTCATCGGCTCTGACTCTCAGCTTTTGCTTTGACAGTCATACGCTTCTGCAGCACATGAAACTTGCCATTATTGCTTTCATACTTAATGAGTAAGTAATGAACAGTGACTGGCACATGCCCTTAGCAAGGGTTTTGATATACGGTTTCCCAGTGTTCTGCACATTACACAGTTGAAAATGAGAGGGAAAGCAGAGTAACCTTGTTTTGTGAGTGAGCAGCAATTGTCCCTCACTGTGAGCTTTGGCTTTGCGTCAGAGAAGTACCCATGTGATGTTCCTTAACCTCAGAGCAGGAAAAACTGCTCTCCAGTGGGATTCATCATGACCAGAGAACACTCTCTTCCCTCTTCTCTGTAGGTCATAGCTTAAAGTCAGAGTATGATTGATGGTGTGGCTGAGCCAATGTAATTGCAGGCTTACCCTTGGGTCACTTAAGAACCAGTGTCACTACTAGGGGTAGCAGAGGAGGGGTAGCAACCCCTTGGTTGTAGCCTGTGTGAAGTTTTACAACACAAATCAGCTGAGCTGTACTTCTGGTGCATGAAATGTACGGTTGTTTTTGCCACTCTTTCCAGAGAAAGTTGCTTTCAGATGCGATTTACAGGTTTCTGAGTAATTTAGTGACTGTATTTTGTGGTTAATAATAATTTGGTGGTTGAGAGGCTGCACTGTTTTGACTGAGTCCATTCAGCAGGGCTTTGCTTCCTTGCAGACTGAAAGGGCAGCAGTACCTCGCTTGCTGATTTGGACAGTTGTGATTCAACAGTGGCCCTTCAGAATAATCCTGACTGGAGACATAGCTGTGATTAGCTTTCGCCTCCTAATGGGTATTTCCACTAGAATAGCCTCACCAATTGGAGATCCCACCATGTGTCCTCAATTGATAAGTAGCTCTTCTCTGTTCAGGAGAGTTGTCTTAAGCATGTGTGAGTTGTTTAGGAGCAGAGGGAATTCCTTCTCCACCGTTATTATTGGAGCTCCTGCTGATTCAATCTATTTATCTTCTACTGCCACTTTTTTTTCACCCCCCATATTGGTGTCATTGAATGGAAATTGGCTATATTTACAATATTTTAAAATATTTATAAAGCAGCTTGAAGCCCAAGACAATAATAATTCCAAGTAATAATAATTCCACAGCATGGAGTGAATATCACTTGCATTTGTTATCTGCAGTGCAGTTGTAGGACTTAGGGGGCCCCAAGAGAGCTTGGCAGTTTATGTGCTAAGTGCTGTAAGGACATGTAATAAGAAATCATGTCTACTCGAGGAAATTTATATTCTAAATAGGAATAGAAAAATGGGAGATTTTGCACAGCAAAGACAAGAATACCTTCCCACTTCAGAGTTGTGCTGCCTAATTTAAGAGGTTTAGAGAAGTCCGTGGTGATCAGGACCTTGATGATCTCTTCCGTGGAGATTTGCCAGTGCTTGCCAATCTACCTCCGTTGTATTTTTTTATTTTTGTGTGAGGCTTTCTGACCTGCAGCCCTGAAGAGATCGTGTATAATTGTTACTGCAGTAAGGTATTATTAATATAAGTTTCAAGTTGCTTTTATCCACTAATCCTAGCAATCTTACTATTTCATTTGTGACAGATATGCCAAGAATTCAACAGCACTTGGGCTTGGGAGATGGAAAAAAAAGGATACCTAGAAATGAGTGTTGAATGCAAACTGGGGATTCTGAAGGTACATATTCATCAACTAAGTTTCTGAATTACTTTTTCCTCACTCACTTAAATGCCTTGGAGACCTGGCCTTCTCACTCACTTAAACATCCTGCAAATTTAGCTTGACTGAGCCATAAGTACATGTATTAAATGTAGAGCTGATCTTGCAGACTGAAGGGCAGTGATACTCATTGTAGTGGAATGGACCCAAACTGAATGTAACACTTTGCATATTTTTCACACTTTGTACAAAACTTTGTATGAAAACTGTTTTGTTCATACTGTTTTATCAGTAGCTATTTGCCTGTACAGTACACTTTGAACGATGTTTATGAGCTAGCTGAATTCCAAAGGCAAAGATAGGACTTCATCTTTTCAAGTCTTGAGAAAACTGTCAGAGTTGGTTCCAAGTTGTATGTGTTTTCTTGTAGAATGAGATCATTTGTACTACGTTTAAAAAAAAAAAAAGGGTGGGGTAAAAATAAACTTTCTAAGCTGGCCAGGAGGAAAAAAACCAAACAGCTAATAAAACTTATCTGTCATTTAAGAATAACATGGTCTGGGAAAGAAACCTGATAGATATAGGTAACTCTCAGATCCAGTAGAGAGGCCTAAAAAGTTCCAAATTGCACTGAGAGGAAAGGAGGTGATTTTCTTATTTCTGTTTATTTTTGATATTTTAACAGTCTTTCTACTTCCTCACTTTTTCAGTATCTCTGTGAATGTCAGTTTGATGACAATCTAAAGTTTAAGAATATAATTAACGAGGAGGATGCCGACGCCATGCGTCTTCAGCCCATTGGTCGAGACAAGGATGGCCTGATGTATTGGTACCAGCTGGATCAAGAGCATAATGTCAGGATGTACATAGAAGAACAGGATGACCAGGACGGATCCACGTGGAAGTGCATTGTTAGGTATTCTGGGTTTTTTTACCTTTTTTCTTATTTTGTAGGGGTTTTTAGCTATTTGTGACTGGGGCTCAGAAATGTCTTTCAATAAATCTCCATTTCTCACAGAGTAGAATTCACAACAGTGGGATTTTCTCTCTTTACATGTAATGTTTTAATGAAAAACAATGTACAGAAATAACTCACTGGTTTGTTGGGAATAGTCAATGTGTAATTTATTTTCTGCTTAATCAAGCTACAGTGGATATATGGAAAGGGTACCAAGAGAAGCCTCTCTTGAGGATGATGGCTCCATCTTGCTCACTGGCCAGCTAAATGCTTTAGGAAGTGGAGGAAGACTTGTGCTTCTGCAACTCGTCCTCTATTAAGAAAATTACAAGAGGACAGTTTTGCTCTTGGGGGAATGACATTGCAATTTTAACTTCATGGAACTATAAAACTGTTGACAATACAAATAAGCATGAAAAATCTGGAGTAGAATTCAGTTCATAGATCACTAAAGATGAGGTGTGTGATGTTGGTGCAGACTGACATGTACGTGACAGTGCATCAGTCTCAGTTGCTGGAGATTGGTCTGTTATATATATTTTAATGATATATATTTTATATAATATTTTAATGATATTATAGCTTCAGATTTATGTGGTTTTTTTGTGATTCTTGTTACATATTTTGGTTTTCACTTTCCTACTCTATGCAAGGTATATGGGATCTTTCTTATTGGAAACAGAATTAGCTTCAAAATTGTTTCATATCTACTAGTTATCCATTTTTAGTTTACTTCCATGTAAACTTACTGTTTTTTAATTTTATTAGTTCCAAGTGGCTTTTAAACTGGACTCATCAGAATCAACTCTGACTTTAAAAAGTACATAGAGATTTCAAAATAGATCTAGAAAAAGTTTTTTTTTTTCTGTTACTAAATCTTAATTTTTATATCTGCAGCTTATTTACATATCCATAACTCTAGTAACCAAGGGAGTCATACAAAATTGTTTAAACCACTATCAGCGGGCCATAAAAGGATAAGCATTACTACCAGTGAAATTTAGACAGCTGTTGTGAGGAAATAAAGTAAATGTATCTAAACAAAGCAGTCAAGAGCTGAGCAGTGTTTATCTCTCTTCATGCATTATAGACTCCAGAGATCAATGCCAAAAACAGAAGAAATCAGAGTTCTGCTGGGGAAGTTCTGACACTCCACAGCAGAAAAACACAGTAATGCATTGTAAAATCTGACATGGTTTTAAACCCCTGAGATTCCACACCTCAGGGTTGTGGCACTTCTAGGCTTCCTTTTTTTTTCTGTAAACCTAGGCAAAACAAATTGCTGAATGCTGACTTCAAAAAGAGAATTGTGAGAGCCTTCTTATTCTAGTCCATTGCGAAAACAATGACTCTGTTTAATCATTGCTCAAATTCATTATACATTAAGGTACTGGGTTTTATACTTAGATGTCCAGCTTAAATAAGAGTTACAGTGCACAGAGATTCACATGCATAGAGATGCAAGAACATTTTCTCGCTATTGTAACTTAGGTAGCTGGAGTTTTCTAGGCAACTTTGCATTGATGGGTACTTGCAAAAAGTATCTAAATGACTTAATTGCTTTTGAACATTCCACTTGAATGATATGGTTGCTCCTTTGATGCATGAGCAGAAAACTACAACTTTCTCTCTGCTGAGAGAAAAAACAAATTGCAAAGAAATATCAGTGAGGATTGGCAAGAGGATAATAGATAAAAGAGTAAGAGTAGCAGCTTGGATCCAGACCCACCAGGACTTTAGTAGAGATAGACAAGTTTCTTCCAAAAAAAAAAAAAAAAAAAAAGATTTTATTTTGGTATGGATAAATTGGAAGATTTCTGACTGCAAAGTTGCAGCCACTCTGGTGACACAGGCGTTTCACTATGGTAGTGTATAAGGTTTTCAGGGCATCATTCATTTAAGCAGATGGTGTTTGTTTATTTTTTATTATTCCCTTTGGGCTAAGTGGCTTATCAGACACCATGTTATTTCTTCTGTCATCTAGAAACCGCAATGAGCTTGCCGAGACCCTTGAGCTCTTGAAAGCACAAATTGATCCTGCCCTGTTGAAAAACAACAATTCTCAGCAGGAGAATTCATCACGTGAAAGCCCAAGCATAGAAGATGAAGATGCCAAAAAGGGTGAAGAAGCATCTACACAAGGTTTTCTGCCTTCTTTTCTCAAATTTTAAATGTTGTGCTGTGGGAATGTTAGAATTTTCAACTTCATGAAAAGTTACTGTGTTAGATTAGGACTTTTTTTTTAAAAAAAATCCACAACAAGCCCACAAAGAATGTTGCTGTTCAGAGTAAAATCAAGTAAATATTGAATACTTTGAAATTATAAATATTATTGGGGGTTTTAGTGCATATTCAGGCTCAAGAACTTATTTATAAGAGAGCTGTGTATAAATTGTTTTTTAATTTTATTTTTGCTGTACGTTTTGTATAATATTGTAAATACACAACATTGTATGTTTTTTGTGGAGCACTGAACTGTTGCTAAACTTTTCCTGTTCTAGCCACATTAAAATTTTAAAAAGAAAAAAAAATCTGTTTGTGCAATGCCATGATTGAAATCAATACAGTATCGGGTGTGTTGTTTGTTTTTGATTTTGAGTTTTAATCAGAAAATATAGGCTGCTTTCTCAACTATGTCATAATCTATGTGATTTTTCAAGAAGACAGGAGCTTAAGTTAAAACAATTTAAAATACTAAAATATTTTAGAAGTGAAGTGGTCCTTAGGTGCCTCCACTGTTCTTATTAGAAAAGAACCCTTTTTTCCTTCCTTATTGTCATGTCATTGCACATACTTAACAACTTACCCGACTTGTTGGTCTGTGCATTGGGTTTACTAAGTATCACTATCAGTTAGCGTGAAGTGTTTTGTGTTATAGGAATCTGATCTTTTTTAAGTTATGAAAAGCTAAAAGCTTGTTATCCCAAATAATTTTAGCTCAGTTACTATCTGGTGTTATCATTTTGTTAAAACACAGGAAAATATTTTCACAGGCAAAAACAAGATTTAAGGATTCTACTCTGTTAGTATGTGTTTCTTCAAATCTGTTGAAGTTAATTTGATATATGGAATTAGCCAAGGTCTGTCTTTGTTCTGAGTATCAGAGAGAAAGACTTGCTTTTATTCTCATTCTTTGCAATAAACAGTGTAGAACAAAAGAAATAAATAAAACACCTAGATAAAACTTGACTTCTTGTGGAAGCATTGAAAGACTAATTGTGATGAACACCAGCAGAATTGTCTTTCACTTGAAGGGCATTTCCAGTATCTAACCGTGCATATAAGTGACAACATAACCTGTGTGGTTACTGGCACTGCAGCATTCATTCCAAGTACTGATCTTGCCTTTGTCTCACTAAAAATTGGTCAAGCCAGTTTAAATCACCTCATCAAGATCTCTACTTCAGATATGATTTTACTTTGCGTTGAATTCAGGAGAAGCCATCTGAAAACATTTTAATGAATGTCTGCACTGTAGATAATTCCCCAGATCCGATGGCGCACTCACCTGGGTCAGTACTTGCGTTGGTGATGCTGTGTATTGATGCAAAATCACTGCTAGGCACTAGGCCCATGCATGTCGTGAGTAATGAAATTATTTACATGTGCCATGATTTAAGTGCAGTCAGTGTGTTCAGAGCACTACGTAGAGCCTTTCAGTTAAGAAGCTTTAGTATTTCCTCCTATTAGTCCCAGGACTGCACTCAAAGCCCTTCTAAGGTACAGTGAAAACATACTGGAAGACCTGATGCCTGTTTGCTTTGGCCACTTCCCAAATAGTGTTAAATAAGTTCATACAAAAATAAATTGAACCAATGCTTACATGTTTTTTACTAGCCTGATTGATTGACTTGAATAGTGTTAAGACAATGCATGCATCAACTGAGTCATTTTATATATATGAAACACCTTACAAACCGTTCAGGGAGTTAAACTATAGAGCAGGTGTTGATTTTCAGTAGAGACATTTTGGGATTCTGCTGATCCTTAATGAAGTTTGGGAGAAGGCAGTAGGTGAAGGGAAGAAACAGCTGAACAAAGTTGAAACAAAAAGTGAAGGGAGGGTGGAAGAATTCAGAGATGGGAAAGAATATAATTCTTTCTACAGACAAATGTCTTTAAAGAGGCAGCTTTTATTTTACAAGGGCTCAGAGTGGGAACCACTTCTATGAAGGGGAAAAAAACCAGCCTTGAGCCTTCAAAATGCCATCGCTTCCAATGCTTTAGAGTTGCATCTCTCACTGCTGTACTAATCGCTGAGACTGACTTGGATACATGCTTTGTATTTGAAAATATTGTAAAATCTATTAATTCTTACTCACCATTCTCTTCTAAAATGCTTATTTTCTTTACTGTAGCTAAGTGAACTGTCATGTGCTTTCCTCTATATTTCGAACCACTTTGGGAAGCTCTCATCTTGGAAAAAAGTTACACTAGTGTGGAGGGAGAAGGGTGAGGTAGAAAAAAAATTGTCTTTTTGTTTGGAGTTACGGCCTGCTTGCATTAAGATCTTCCAGATGGTAGAATATGCTGTTATGGTATATGTAGTGCTATTAGATTTCCTTTTTCTAATTAGTTCTATCCCTAGCTGACTCAAAAAATACGGTAAAATAAAAAAGAGAGACATTAAAAAGCTGCGGCAATGATAAATAATAGGCTTAAGTACATAGCAACAAAATACATGTATGGTTTCTCCTGAATGCTGAAACTGTGCTTTAAGCTCTGCAGGTTTTTCTGGGATATGCTATTGCTCACTGTGCTCATTTTAGAAAAGGCAGATGAAGTGAATGTAGAATATTCTCTGTTATGTGTGTTTTGATAGTACGTAGGAGATGTAGTCATTGCCCAGAGAATCTAGATGAATTTTTCCGTAAGCTATTAATGTTGAATGTCTTCTCTTTTCTCTGAACTGTTGAAATACAATAGTTATGTATTTATTGAAATAAAAACGTGTAGGAACAGGGGACTGATTTATATGTGGAATTTCACTTGAAGACCCTGGAATCTTACACCATGTTCTGGTTTGTGAAATAATGCGGAAATTCAAGTAAGCTCCAAGTTGCTGCTTTGTGCACTCTCTGCTTAGGTTTTAGGTATCATCTGAAAGTATTGTGATACTACTAGAAAAGGGGGTTGAGATGTCTATATAAAGAAGGATAAAGCTAGAATACTGCTGCTAGCTTCTGAAATTTGGGTTTATCTTGGTGTGTAATTAAACTGAATGGTGATTCTTTAGCTAAAAATTGGCAACTGACTCATTAAATGACAGTATTGGATAAGCCAGACTCCCAGTAACTCTATGAGAGAAGACTGATTTGCAGGGGATTTTGGGTTGTTAGGTTTTTTTAGTTATGCCTTTGTTTTGGTGGATGCTCCCCTGGTTGTTTCATAGTTGTTTTTCTCTGTCAACAGAAAATCAATTAAAAATCAAAGAAGAAAAAGAGGAGGTGGAGGAACAGTCAACAGAATTGGAAAACCTTCCTCTTCCTGTGGTCAAAGAAGACGAAAATATGTTGAAAAATGAGAAAGTAGAAGAAAAAGAAATTATAAAATTGCCAGTAATAGTAAAATTAGAGAAACCTTTGGAATATAGTGAGGAAAGGCAAACTGTCAAAGAAGAAAGTGACTCCTTTAAAGAAAATGTCAAGCCTGTTAAAGTAGAGGTGAAGGAAAACAAAATAGAACCAAGAGACTTGAAAGAAGTAAAAAGTTGTACAGACAAAATAGCAGTTCATGAGCCGGAGAGGTTGGAATTTTGTGTTAATGTTAAAACTCCCCAAGAAATTGTGGACAAATCTGTGGAAGAAAGTGAGAAACTCAAAAATGACCAGCAGGCAAAAATACCACTTAAAAAGCGAGAGATCAAGCTGACGGATGACTATGACAGTCCGATAAAGGGGCCCCTATGTAAATGTGTTACTCCAACAAAGGATGTCTTGAAGGAAGAAGGGAAACCAGAAGAAGAAGCTTTTAAGAGAGTCCCTACAATTACTGCTTTATGTCCTGATGGGAAAGTGCTAGTAAATGGAGAGGTTAGCTGTGAAAAAATAACCCCAAGTGTCATACAAAACAATAAGTCGGAACACTCTGCTAGCACAAAGGAAGACAGCAGCTCACTAAAAGAGAGAAATGGAAAAAGTGGGGAAAAGTTATCAGACTCTGTAAAGGTATCAGACTCTGTTAGTAAAATTATAAAAGCTTGTGAGATTGAGAAAAATGCAATAACTGTGGTGAAAGAAATAGGGACTGTGGTCTCTGAGGTTTCTAATCAGAAAGTGCCTTTAAAGGAGGAATCTAGTCCTGTGGAAAAGGAGTCCCTTGACAGCACAGCTACTGAAATGGTAGTGGAAGAGTCTTCAAACTCTGAAGACTGTGCCAAAATGACTGAAGAGAATCTAGCCACGAAAACAAAAAAAGACAGACTACAGCCACCCAAAGAATGTTTAGAGAAGCTGGAGAAGTCCACAGATGCATCTGCTCCTTCAGAATTGCCCAAGGTTGCGCTGTCCGATGAAGAGACTTTGCAAAATAAAGGTGAGTCTGAGGAGAAACCTAATTCTCCAAAAGCTGCTGAGATACCCCCTGCATCTACTTCTACTGTTACTTTAGAGAAACCTGTTTTGGAAAAGGAGGGCTCTGATAGTAAAATGGCTCTACATGAGGAGGGTAAAGTAGAAGAAAAACTCAGCCCTGAAAAACAAGAGGAAGAGCCTGAAACTGCCAAGACAGAGCCAGATAGATTAGATGATGCCCATGCTTCTAATCTGGAGGACTCCTCAGAGAGTAAAAAGGAATCTCCATTACCTAAAAGCAAATTTAAATATAAGCTAGTTTCTGAAGAAGAAAGCTGTGCAACAGATAATAAAGAAATAACTTCTGAAAGACAGAAAGAAGGAATTAAATTAACAATCAGGATCTCTAGTCGGAAGCGAAAGACAGAAACACCGCCAGAAGAGGTCAGCATTGGTCGCACATTAAGGCGCTCTCCAAGAATATCCAAGCCTACTCCAAAAGTTGTGGAGACTCGGGATCAGAAACCTGACAAAAAACGACCTGAAGAGGAGGAGGAGAAACCTGCAGCAGCACAGAAACCAGAACGAAAAGAAGATGCAAAAAAACAAGAGAAGGAGTCAAATTCTAAGGTTAACAAGGTAATACAGTTTTATTACTAGGGAATACCTGCAGTCTTATCTATAAGGAAAATATACACTTACGTAGGAGTATTGAGGATTGCATTCCTTTGGTCAACTTTTGTAAGAAACTAGCTTTGCAATCCCGTTAGTAGACTCAACCAATTTAAAAACACCCTCTTAAGAAAGTGCTAATATCTGTTGACTTATCAGTTTATAAAATCTGTCACTTAACCTAAACTAAGTAGACCAAGTCAACTGGAGTGAATTCTTCTAAACATTGAAAAGTATCAGACCCGGGTCAGTCTGGCTGAGTGGAGACTTCTGTCTCCTGTGGATTTACTGGATGGATACTTGTTGGTGTCTGGTTGGTCAGGATGATCGTGAGCCAAAAAGGAACCAACAAATGATGAAGAATAAAAATACTATAACTTCTGTTTCTAGGTGAAGCTGAAGTTATTGTTGTGGTGAGTTCATGATACAATTTAGCTTTTCTCGTTCATGGGATATACATGTTGCTTTGGATTGGGGTATTCTTTTTCATTATAAACGTTTGCTTATGCAGCACAGACCTTGAAAGTATGTCAGGTGAATACAACACAAAAAGTTAAACATATGTATGTATAGTGGGTTTCTAAGTCTATGTAATTATAAACACCTTTCACTAATTTATCTTCTGTTTTTTCTGGATATGGAAACCAAAAGAGAAACAAGGAATACAGGGTCTGTATTTTTAAGTGCACTCTTTTTCTATCAACTTGAAATGCTATTTTTCCACTGCTACACATTTTCTTACTGATTTTGTAGTTTTACCAAGACATTCATGCATTTAGCAAGTTTTTTTCGTGCACTATTATGTTGAATAACCTTCCAAAAAAGAGCAACCAATTGATTTTTTTTCTGTGAATTATAACGTCTGTACTGAAAAATTGTCATATACATAAATAAATTTAAATGTTTTCATTTAAAATTTTTCATTTAAAGATTGCAATTAAAAAATAAAATAAATGAAAGAAATAGTGATTGTAAGTTCTACAAGTAGTTTTAATTTTGAAGTACTGTTGCTATAGGCATTTTAACTTGATCTCTTTAAATCTCTATCTTTCAAGTAAAGAAGCTTGCTTTTCTAGCAAGATTTTAAAATAAATATGGTAGAGGAAGAAGGTTGAAACAACTAAGCTTCTGTCATTTCATCAAGATGAAAAACACCTGAATCTTTAGTAGGCTATTTTATATTTGTTTTCTTTTCAAGAAGGGTCTTTAAAAGTTATATTTAAAATTATGAAGACATATGATAAAGTCTAAACTTAAACTAATACTATAATGGATTTCAAGTACGTCTGCCACTAAAGTTTAGTGAACAGTAAAATCTGTGAAGACGTAGAAATTAATGTTAGGAACATGAGACAGAATTTTACCAATATGACATGTACTGCTGTGGTAAGAGTCCATCCTGCAGGAGAAATAGAATAATTTGTACATTTTAGTTTATTCAGCTCATTCAGGTGAATGACTAGTTATAGTCAAAATTGAAAAAATATTTTTGAGTTGAAAAAGCTAGAAAAGTTATTTTCCTTTTTCAGTGTCTGTGGGGGCTGGGGGCGTGAGAAGAGTTGTGGGAGAATGGTGTCTGTGAGAAACAAGTCAGTTAATGGGAGTAAAAGTTTCTTGTGTTTGGTATGTTGCTTTAATAAAAAATATCCTAGTTGCAGACAGTAGTTTTAACTAATTCAACATAATACTCCGAATTGTAATAAAAATCTGGTTTTCATTCAAAATATGACAGCAAATATGATAGAAAGGGGTAGATACCCCTTTGATTAGCAAAAAAGAAGCATGAACTGGATCAGTTTTCACTTAAGAATAATGGAAAAGTATAAATGTATAAGAAGACCTAGATATAAGTTATGCGCTTAAAAGGTGCAGTGATTTTTTTTCAGAAAAGTATACCCATCCTAGTGGAAAGCACCAGAAATTCTTAAGTTGATACACTTGTCTGAGTGCAAATGTGTTTCCTAAAGTGAAATAAAAGACATCAATTGTACAGGGGGGCAGGGCGTGGGAAGGTTCTCTTTGGATTGAGGACAGCTATGATCAGAAAGTTAGAAAGTTTAAAAGTAGTATTTATCATGTTCACAAGCAAATTTACCTTGTCAAAATAAAAGAAAGGGGCTCAGTGACAAATTTGTCTTCTGACTTTTAAATCTTATTTGAAAGTTTCTTTCTGCAGGTAGATATGATTTTTTCTGCCTTTATTATCCTGTTGTGTTTTAAGGCTCTTTGAAAGACAATTCATTGAAATGCTCTGTTGCATATTTACTGCAGTTGTTCTGATTGAAATGAAACACTTCACCGTAGAGGCAAATATTTTTTAAGATCTGGGAAGAAACTGTGAGCTTCCTTTGTGTTTTCTCTTTGGTATGCCTCACAGAGAAGCAAAGTTCGGTGGACAGGTACGCGAACACGTGGCAGGTGGAAATACTCAAGTAATGAAGAAAGTGAGGGCTCAGAGAGTGAAAAAAACTCTGATGACGAGGAAGAAGAAGAAGAAGAGGAGGAAGAAGAAGCTGCACCAGCTGATGATGATGAGCCGTGCAAGAAGTGTGGCCTTCCCAATCACCCTGAGCTGGTAGGCTTTTGGGGGAAGCTTCTGTTGGCTGTTGTGTCGGATTTGGTGGATTGGCTTTGGTGGTATCTGAAGGCACATCATCCTCTGGGGTGGCTGCACGTAGGAGAATACTCTCTAGGTTTTAGGTGGTACACTCATGGCAGTAGATTAGTTTAATAAGAAGGGAGGAAAGTTATTTCTTCTGTTTACCACCTCTGAAATGTTGTGTTTTATGAGGTATAGCACTATTTAGCCCATTGAGAATTAATCTGGGTGAGGCTCTGAGGTTGTGCCTGCAATCTCAGTGGATACAGAGGAGACAACATTAAAAAAAAATCAAAACAGCAGTGTGACATATGCTTTCCAGTGTCTTGCGACATGGTCACAGCTACACAGTCATCCTCATTGGATAAAACTGTACATCACTTTGAGGACTGGGTACAGCAACATACCACACAGAAGGACCACAGCGAGCTTTTGCTATTTCTAATATTAATGGTTCTTGTTGATCAGTGGTAGATATCATCATGAATTCCTCTGTTTATCTGGGAAGTGATAATGTGCGGTCCTACTGTGAATCCACAAAATAAGCGTACTCTGGTGTGTGAGATATTCTAGCATAGTTGAGACAAAATTTGACCTTTAGGATGTTAAGAGAGAAATACGCCAGTAGATACTCATACAGCTTATGCCAGCTTTGTTCCTCAGTTTTAAGGGGGAGGGATATCTCAAACTTTACCCAGCTAAGTATTAACTCTGATAGTTGCCTAGTTCTCTATAGCCCTAAGAGTCTGCAGGGCTTTGTCTCTATTATATGGGACATAAAATCATCCTGATTGAGGAAACAGCCAGATTTTCTTCATGTTGATTTGAGTGCACAGGGAAAACAGATCACACCACATCTTGTCCAGATGGAGTTTTCCACTTGGTCCAGGATCTGGAAAGCATTTCCACACTATGGGCATACAATCTGTGCAGTCCAGTAGTACTAAGTGCCTGAGAACACATAATAAGGGGAAATCTGGTGTTAAAATGGAAAACTGTGATACATAAACTTCCCCATAAAACCCAACCTGGCCCCAAAAACATCTAGTGATAAGCGATACAGGATTTTGGGGGGTTTGGCACAATCCAAAGTATTTATAAAGCACTTCTGTGTTGGCTGGGGGAAATAGTTCTGGAGCTTGTTACATGTGAACACCAAAAGATACTCCTGATTCATTTTGTTTCCACAGATTTTGTTGTGTGACTCTTGTGACAGTGGGTACCACACCGCCTGCCTTCGCCCTCCTTTGATGATAATCCCTGATGGAGAGTGGTTCTGCCCGCCTTGCCAGCATGTATGGTTCCTCTTCGACTGTTCTCCTTTCCAGCTTTGCTTCTGGTTGTGGAGATTTGTTGGGAATTTAACAAGTTCACTTATTGTTTTTCTGTTAAAAAAATACTGTGATGAATGGTAGGGATGCTAATCTTCCCCATTAGTAAAACTGAGTTTTGTGAGGTGCTTTTCCTTTCCCTTTTTTTTTTTTTTTCTGGTAGTGATGAAGTGTGTTGCTGATGTGTAGGTGGGAATCTCCAACCACGCTGGTGGTCTTCCATAATTTCTTAAATTACCTCTAGACTAACATAGTATTAAAAATATAATGTCTTAATTTTTCCAAAAAGAAACATCATGTTATCATCCTGGAGAGGGAAGCAGTAGGCAGCGAGGGATGGATCAGTGGCCAAAGCAAGCAGTTCTCCTCAGGAGTCTCACAGTACAGTTTGCCTCTGCTGGGAAAGCCAGAGAGTTGTCCTTGTCAAGGAACAGACAAGTGTAAACACTTTTCTGAAGGTTAGAAGCTGCTTCTGCCAAAAAAAAAAAAATAGTGCCTGTGTCTAGTTTCATGTAATGTACATCTAAATTAGCAAGAATTGCAGGGATGGTACTTGAGAGAATAAGCCAGAGTGTGTGTGATGCTGTTCTTGTTAATGGGGAACCATTTATGTACATTTGCAGAATAATCTGCCTGATCCCAAACCCCTCCCTTGCTTTTAGAAAAATTCCTTGCCACAGGGGCTGTTGCCCTGCAAAAAGCTAGCCACGCTGGGCATGACATGATATGGCTGTATTGAGAGCTGATTTTTAGTTGTTTTCTGAGGACTATTTTTAAGTAGTGATCATCCTGAATATGTAAGAATGTTTCCTTACACATCTTGGGATTGCAGCTTGTAGTCAGAGCATCTCGTTGCTCTGTTGCTGTTTAGTCATTTTTAATATGAAAAACGATCTGTAAAAGTGTGAAAATCATCCTTGGAAGTAGCACCACAAGTGCATTAACATGGAATAAGGCCCAATTTGTCCATAAAAAGTCATTTTTATGTCTTCTTGAGTATTAAAAGGTGTTCTAAGATAGGGAACATTTGGTAAGAAAATTATCCTGAAGTGTATCTCTTTTACTGTGGTGTCCACAGACTCATGTTCTCCAAAGATTAAGATAAAGGACAAACAGGCATCACTGTGTGTGTACGCACTCAGCTTTATGTATGTATTATGTACGTCTGTGAAATCCTTGAGTTTCAGTGAGGCAAAGTTGTAAATACCAACAAAAATGTGATACTAATTTAGTAGTATGTTTATTCTAAACATCTTTAATGCTTGCTTAAGGCACATTGCTTCCTACAGTAACTGCCAGTAACTGGGAGGATGCGTCTCTGTAGCAGTTCTTGGTGAAGCACGTGTGTTTTAGGAAGATGGTCTTTGTTGTAAAGCTTTGTTCATCAATGAGGAGCCCCCAGTGTAGCAAGGCACTCACCCTTCTTCCAGACAAATATAGAAATAGTGAATTAAGCATCTGAACTTTAGTTCCACATGAAAATAGTTGGTTATGAAAGAAACTAATATTGTGTTTCATTCCCTTAGAAATTACTCTGTGAGAAATTAGAAGAACAATTACAAGATCTGGATGTTGTCTTAAAAAAGAAGGAGCGTGCAGAACGCAGGTACTACTGTTTGGTTGGTTCACAGCAAGCTGCTATGCAGAGGGGTAGTAATAACTGAACAAGCATGAAAATAATTGGGGACCGGGGAGGAAAGTAGAGATGAGACTGGGAATTGGTAAGGCCAGTTTTGACTTCCCGCTGATTATTGGTGTTGCAGTACTGGGAGAGCTTGCAAGAAGGGAGAAAAAGTTCAATAATTGGAAAAGATAAGCAAATACATTTGTATTAAACTTTGTTTAAGGTTCCTGAACACAAATTTGGCTTTCCTGCACCAGTAGTTCGATGGTTTTCAGCACTGGTTGAGCGGCATGTGTTAGTAATACTGACAGCTGTGTGTAGAGTTCCTGCTGTAAGCAAGGTTAAGTTCTGTTACAAAGGTCATCCAGATTAATGTGGTTTTTGAGTTCTGTTGCTTTAGATTCTGTTAAATTTTGTCGAATTTATGAGATTATGCAATTGCTGTAGCGCAGTGGGTCAGCGAAATTACAACTTCGAATGAAATTTTGTGTCCACCCGTGCCATTTCCAAAGGCTAAGTGCAGCTGGTTTACTGCATTTATGAACAACATCCTTAATACTTGGAACATCCTATCTGCAGTTTTCAGACCTGAAAATGAGGGACATGAAACACAGTCTGCATAATTTATACCTTTTAGGACATATATTGAGTACTTTGCAAAATTTAATAACATCTGTATGCATTATTAAAGTAACTGAGCAGGCTTATATTTGTAGCAGGTACTGTAGTATCACATGGGATGTAGTGATTCAGTGCTGGGAAGAGTGGAGCACAATCTGTGTCTGGTTTTCAGCTTCCTTCAAATCTCCTATTTGTTAATGCTGTTGCAGCAGCAACAATGATAGTGACAGCAGGTACTGACTGCTCCTAACATTGCTACTTCTGCTCAGAGTGGTCTAGATCACACTGTGGTAAAATTATCCATGGCTTGCCAATTTTAGTGAATTTGTAGCTTTGGAAATGAAACTATTAGCTACTTTTATGAGTGAGCTCAGCTTACAGCCTTCCATCTGTGCAGGAGTATGGAACACAAAGGAACTGTGTCAGCTGCTCTGCTTTATGGTGGGAAGACTCAGTACTAGGGAACAATATTTTTTGGACCTACTTTGGTAAATATTCTACTGGCAAACATTATGTGGAATGCAAGCTATTTCCAGTCTGTCTTACTTTCTTGAAATCAGTAGTGTTGCATAAAAATACAATCTTTTCACAGTTACAGGAGAGCATACAATTGATATAATATCACTTTTCAGTGTCTGAAACAGATGTTTAACAACCATTTTGCAATCTGATCCTCATACCAAATGAACCTAATGTTTTCTATTGTATATCATAAGACTTTTTTATTATTATTATTTTTAAATTTTTTTCAGTCTCTTAAAAAGAGAAATGAACTTGGGTTAGAAAGGAGTTCATGATACAGTAGTTGAATAGTGAAATCTTTTAATGGTGGCATATTTTAACAAATTGTAACGTAAAAAGGCTGAAGAATTATAATGCTAGAAGAAATTATAGTCCTTCTTACAGCTTAATGTAAAAGTTAAAGCAGGTTGGTTGTTATGGGCAAAGAAATATTTTAATGTACTGTGATTTTACAGAAACATTACATGTTGTCTGTCTTTTTGGCAAGAAGAAGAAAACCAGCTGTCTTATCATCATGGGCACGCACGCTTTATAGATTCTTTGAACCAGTGTTATTGTTGTGCTTTTTGAACTACTGATAGAGTCATGCTCTTTGTCTTAGTTTGGGCTGAAATAGAGTTAATATTCCTTTTCAGGGACTAGATGAGTGCTGTGTTTTGGATTTAGCTTTGGGTTTGGTATGGGAAAAGTGCTGATAGCACACTGATGTTTTCAGCTGCTACCGAGACTTCAAGGACTCTCCGACTCTCCACGTCCTGCCCGTGCGCAAGGGCACAGGGAGCAGGGAGGGAGCACGGCCACAGCACCTGACCCAAACTGGCCAGTGAAATATTCCATATCATGGAACGTCATGCTCACTATATAAAGGGGTGGTTGGGAAGGAGCTCTCTCTCTCGCTTCCGGGATTGCGATGGTGGGATCTTGGTATCTCGGGGTCGCTGGCTGGGAACGGGCTGGGGATTGGTCAGCGGGTGGTGAGCAATTACAGTGTACATTGCCTGTTTATATATTTCTTTTTGTTTTCCCCCCATCATCGTTATTGTTTTCATTTTATTGCCATTATTAAACTGTTCTTATCTCAGCCTGCGAGTCTCCCTTCACCCCTCTAATCCTCTCCCCCATTCCCAGGTGGGGAGGGGGAAGGGAGGGTGACCAGCTGCGGGGGTTGGTTGCCGATCAGGCCCAAACCACAACACTCTTTTAGTTATTCTCTGGCTTTCACGAATCTGATTGAAATTGATTCACCTGCTCAGCTATATTCTTATGCATCCCCAAAGTGTTATGTCACAGATTTTTTTTTTTTTTTTTATTAATTAAAACTTTAGGTTTCACACTGACTTACAAATAAGTCATACCTTTTTTTTTCTCTTCATAAATTCAAGGTGATATCTGGCTGAATTTCGGGTTTCTCATGTACATGCTAACTTCTATAATCATGTTCTACCACCAGCTAGAGGGAGTGGACATTAAAGCTTTTATAGCTGCCCCTTTTAGATCATGTTAGAGACCCTCAGATGTCTTGATAGAAAACCCCTCTAGGGACTTCTCCCAGGCCAAATCAGATGGAGTACTTCCTTTCATACACACTTTCATGACTTCCCTGTAGCAACTTTTGTAGCTGCTTACGTGAGAGAAAATGTTTTCTGAATTCGTCAAGGAAGAGTTTATAACTACTTAGTGCTTATGTGCACCTACCGTTGGAGACCTGTTGGTTCAAATGTTTAAACTATTGGTTAAAGTGTTGAGCTTCTGTGTGCTACATACTAATAAGGAATACATCTGATACTTCATTTTGCATTTCATTTTAAGACCTTTATCTCAGCAGGATTGGCTTGTTTCATTTGCTGATTTCTTGAGCAGTGTGTACTCAAGCCAGGGAGAAGAAAAGTAGATCTTGAAAGCTGTTTAAAAACAGCTGAGTTTTTCTCATCTCTCTTGTCTCTTGATGTTTTGCATTACAAGAAATGATAAGTGGAGGAAACTATCAGAGAAACTTGCTGAATACTCTAATGCTTACATTTCTAGTTCCTTTCTAATTTTAGCAGTTGTATTCCTTGCCTTAAGATGCTATTCTAAGTCATTTTCAAGAGCATAGAGATTTTGCAGTGTATAACAAAATTCTTCTGCATCCAAGCAATCTCATGGTGCTCAGATGGATGAAGATTTCATCTATCAGTTTGGAGAACTGACGTTAGGAGACAAAAGCAATTACTTCTACACACAGCCCGAATTTTCTATTTAGATATTGTCAAAGTTTATGGCTTTTTTGTCTGTAAAACAACCTAAAATTGTTTTTTACTTTTTGTCAGTAATACTTTAGGAATTCATGTTATTTAGGAACAGAACATTACATTCCTTTAGTAAAGAGTTTTCCAAGAGGTTATCTGGGTAGTGCAGAAGAGCAGTTAGAAGACTTTTAAAATTTACTTACATTCTTTAGAAATTAATGAAAGTATTGGAAACAAAACTTTTACACATACATGCCTTTATTTGCAAAAAAAAACAATGCACATATGAAGTAAATGTATCTAAAATTAATATGCATCTCAGGCATTTGTGTAGAGGACTAGATGACTTGGGTACTTGATGCGTCTTGTTCTGACTCAAACATAATGTAATATGTGCTCATACAATTACTCACTGTAACTTCAGAAGGCTGATTCTGGTTGATGGAAGCTCTTTAGCTCAGAAACCCAGAAGAGGTTAGCAGTGGTTCTTGCATGATTTCATTCCAACTGCAGTGATGTTCCACTGGATCCTGAACATTGGGAGTCTGCTGGCAAGTGCCTAGTTTCTACCTTGCTTCTCCTCAGGATTCTTCTTCAGAGTGTATGGTCTAAAAATACTGTTATTCAAAATAATTTTTAAATCTGTAGAGATGTGGCTTGGTTTTACAGTCCTTGCAGAGTCCAATAAATGCCACCAACTTTCTTTGATATCTTCATTTGTTTAAATTATCCCTTGTTTTCTAGGAAAAGGTTAGTAGGGACCTATGGTGATGGTAGTTTGGTTACCCACCCTGGTCTGTTTTAGTACCTGGCTGTTCTTCCTGACAGACTGCTTTTTTGAAAGCTCAATTCAGTATCCTGAACATCACCCAGTGCTGTTTGTGATGGGCTCGGATATCCAAAACATCTCTAATTGGGACTGACAGGTTCGACAAGACCTATGGGAGACTTGTGTCCCTCAGGAGCCAGAGTTGTGCCCAGGGCAGTTCAGATGATACAGGATTCTAGTATTGAGGCAAGCTAAGTCTAAACTGAATTTTACTTTGATTTAATCTTGTAACGTACTGTGGACAAAGAGGACTGCCTACTTCTCCTTACAAGAGTCTTACCTGTATTTGAGTACTGTTCTCATCTTCAGTCTAGTGTTCTCCAGACCAATCTATCCTATTTTTTCAGCCTTTCTCAACAGCCCAGTAACTCCTACTTTAGCTCTGAACTCTTCAGCTGGATCATATCTTTCTTAACAGTATGTGCGGTGCTCAGATGGCACCAAGTACTGCAGCTAGGTGTGAACAGGGCTGACTATCATGGTAGGTTTCCTTCAGTTGTCCTGTAGGCTGTTCCATCCGTCATAGTAGTTGTTTCCACAGCAGCTTGACTCTGTTGATCTTTATTCGGGCTGTTCTCTGGCAAAGAATTGCTACGCAGGTGGTTATTGGTTCCCTTGTGTTTCTAGAGTTGATTGTTCCTGCCTGGGTGTTAAATCTAGCACTTGTCTGGTTTGGATCACATCCTGCCTTTATGTAATTTTTCCAGCTCTGTGTAATTTCGAATTCCCATTTTGTTTTTCAGCACCTCCAAGGTTGGTGGTAGTTATGGATCTGAGAGCATAATCGTGATCACAACACTATTTCAGTTGTTTTTTTTAATTGCTTTTTGCACCCCAATTCAATAATTTCTATGATGCCTGCAGTTGTTTGTCAGAACTCTTTGGAAATCGCTTACATTATGCATACAGGAAAATGTAATCAGATGAGATTTAGCATGTAATTTCAACTAAAGTAACTGTTTTCAGTCGGAACATCCTCTTGGGATGCTTCTGCCTAGCAATAGTAAGAGCTTCAAATGGTGCAAATTACAACATTATTTTAGATATCTGCAGTCTTTCTGTAAGCTTATTCTCATTTTTTCTCTCCTAAAGAAAAGAGCGACTGGTGTATGTGGGTATCAGTATTGAGAACATCATTCCACCTCAGGTAAGTTACCATGTCTCCGTTGTATTATTGTTTTGTTTTCAAAACTTCTTAGGGAAGAAGTTTCTCAGTGGTGTGTTAGAAGTGCTAGTAGCATCTTGGAAAGAAAAATCAGTCTATATCAGGTCAGAAATAATTCTAGACCCTTCGTTTTAGACTGAGATTTAATTTAGCGGAGAAACCAAGGGAGCTTTATCATGTTTATTTGAGCCAAGTGGTGCCACGCAGAGTCCTCTGTCAGTGAAGGATCACAGAATCACCCCCCTACCCATTACAGCTGGGTTGTGGGTAGAGGGCTCTGCCATTCTGTGGTTTATAATGGTGGGAGGTGGTTTATTTAATTCTGATGGCTACTGTATAGTATAGTTATGTAGGTCCAAGCTGACTGTCATAGCTTTCCGTTAGAAGTGATGGAAACAAATGTTTCTGGCTTATGAGTCAGAGGGAGTATGTGCTATCTATTAGAAGCATAACATTTGCCTCCAACAAATGCATACTGAAGTCACATGTGCTTAAAAACTATAAACATTTAGTGTTTTGTTAACAGATGTTTTTAGATGTTTTTTCTTTACAGAGGAGGAAAACCATTTTTATTCATGTGGAGAACAGCCTCTTCTCACTTCTTAAATATGTTTTAAAGTGATTCTTTTGAAGTCTTAGCCAAATGCCTTTGTCTGAAATTATATCATGTGTTCCCTGCGTGAGAGTTTGTTTGTTTTAAACATAAACTTTCCACTCTGACTGTAATAAAACCAACTTTCTCCCCCCTGCCTCTGGATAACAGAAAAATAATAACATTTTGCAAACTTGCGAAAGAGTCTGTGGCTGGGAGTAAATATTTGAAAAATTCAGCCTGGGGCAGATGATTTTTTTTTTTTTTTAAATTAGTAACCTGGAAACAATATCATAAAATTAACCTGCGTGGAAATTTATTGAAACTGCACCATGGAAAGGTGTCTCTGTGCTCAGTATGTATTGATTCTAGCAACAGTTTGTTCAGCTCCTGCATTTACTAGTCCTGGGAATCTCACCTGAGGCACAATCTCAGTGTTGTAGTATAAACACAATGATACAATAGCCAGAATCCTTAAACTTTGAAATATTGTGAAACTATGTAGCCAGTAAGGGCAGTAGGTACAATTATTCATGTGAACTACTGTAACAAGCCATTATATTAGAAGCCAAAATGTGTTGTGTTGGGCATATGACCTTTCTAGATCATAGGAATTTCTGTCTCGTGTGAGTTCAGTCATAGTGAGTGTGGTGGGAGGGGTGAGATGAAGCTTTTTGACACTTCTGTCTTATGTGAACAGGAGCCAGAAATACCTGAAGGTCAGGAAGAAAAGAAGAAAGATTCCAAAAAGCCAAAATCAAAGCTGCTTGAAAGGAGGTCTACCAGAACCCGAAAGTGCATAAGCTACAGGTCAGTAGCTTGCTTACATAGCTTGTAAAACAAAGAAAAGTCATACGGTCGTTTTCTTTCTCAAGCAACCCACCACTTGTCATGCACACTTTTACATTTAAAAGAGAGGCCCAGCTAAAGTGTCTTTGCTCTTTCCTATGAATACTGGTTATGCTTGATGGTTGTACAAGCATATGAGGTGGTATAGTGAAGGGATGATGCATAAAAAAAATAAAATGTATATGGTACTTTGTTCAGGAATAGTGGAGAAGGTTTTGGTGTTACTGCAGTTTCTGGAGTAAGTTAAAGCAGGTGAATCACACCTCTCCTTTCTGTTGAAAGGGAGACTTATGTTTGTGTTGAAGGCCTTAAATTTCTCTCACCCTTTTAATCCACCCTTACGGGTTCTTTACATGAAAGGGGAATGGATCTTAAAATGCAATTTGGAGATAGTACATCTAAAAATAGTCTGTAACTCTTAAGAGAAATTGTAAGAAAAGTGCAATTAGCAAACTAAAATTCCAAGATATTTAGGCTCTGTGCATTCTGAAAGTAGAACAGGTCACTAAAGTTTCCAATATTCACCGTGATCTTAATATTATCTTTTGTTCTCAATGTATTACCAAGGTGTTTTATAAACTATTTTCTAAAAGTTACCTTGAGATGCTCTGTATCCTTTTCAGTACACCAGGCAAGTAGGCTGCCTTTTGGCATTAGAGAAGAATGTGGTTGCTTGAGAGCTTGTGCTTTTTGCCCCAGCTGCATTAGGAATACTATAAAAAAAAAAAAAAAAAAAATTGTATTACCTTTCTGTTTTCCTGTACTTGCTTTATGTTGTAGACCTTTATCATCAAAAATGAGAACTGCAACTTCCAAAACTTTCCAACAATAGCCACAATTAAACTCATAGTCAGTCTGGTTTTTCTGTTGAGGAGAGGCATGGAATTTGTATAACCACAGTTTTCCAGCCTGCTCAGAAAACTCGGTCTGACCTTGATTAGATGTTGATTTTCAGTAATTTTTAAAATTAACAGCAGAAGCCACACTAATGAAAATACCATTGCTGCTTTGGGAAACCAAGTATTTCTGTAAGAAATATTATGCCACAGGCAAGATTATATAGATTTGCTATTATGTTAATGACAGACCAGGCAGCATCTGAGCAGGAGAAAAAAACCCCTTGCCTGTTGGGTATCTGGCATGACTTCAGCGGGACACATGTTATGCAAAGACAATAATTTTTATTGGAAATAATATTTCATATAATGTTGTTCTGGAAAAATCCATTTTCTGCTACAAAGTGATAGAGTCTTACAGACTCCATCATACACATAACTTTGAACTGGTGAAAACATTACACATGTCAGTGTGTCACTTCAAATTTGTATGTCTGCAGTGAAGTCCTGCTCGTGTCACTGAGAATTGCATACGCCTTCCTTCAGCAGGGGAAAATAAGTGCTAAATGTCTTATTCCACTTACAGACAAATCTGTATTGTGTAACATTATGGTTCTCTAAAGATATGTAATCCCTTTGTTATCACCCAAGTCATCTGTTGAGTCCTCTCATGAGCAGGTTAGCAAAAATCTGTGTTATGAATAAAGCAGCAGCAGAAGAAATTATGTTCCATTACACCGAATGGACAAGCAGCTGTCAGCTGGTGTTTGAGCTCAGGTTATTTGTTAGCGTTGATTTGAAAGCATGAAAGTGATTTCTCACATTTTAAAGAGGTGTGGAGGGAAAATACTGTTTGAGTAATGTGGAACTAATCTTACTGATGGAATAATTCCTGTTACTTCTTGGCTGTGTAAAGCTGCCTTGAATGTGAAATGGAGTTGTTCTTGGGGAACATGAAGAGACCAGAAATCCATCACCTTATTTTTAAAGGAGAAAGTGTTTTATGCTTACTATTGGAATACAGGGTAATGTTAGATCTATTCCTTTCTCATTCTGCTGGAGGTTACTATGGAGGACCAAGATAAAAATAACTGTAATCTTTCTTTCGGGTCTGAGAAACTGAATCTTTAATGAAAGTATGGTCCAATTGTTAGTTGTTTGCATCTAAAAAAAATTTATTTTTTTTACTGAAAAGAAAAACTTTCATCTAAATAAAATGTCTTTCCTATATAGTCAATAAAATTTGTACTTTTGAGTGTTGTATCTCAAGGCATCTATTTGGTGATGCAGGTAACAATCCTTTTTTATGGGCTTGAATTCATAACCAAAGAAACAAACTGAAGTCATCTGTGTAAAAGGGCTGGATCCTTTTTTCTCCATTTGCTGTTCCCTTTAAACGAGTTAGTGTGCAGAGATATATGCAGTTTTATAAAAGCTGCTGCAGGACAAATGTACTCAAATATTTTGCTTTTGTTTTTCCCATTTAGTTATGTAACAATACATTATCGGTTATTTGTATATAATTACAAAGAATTGTGTACAGTATGTTTTATCTGTTCAGCTTAGGATGTTGCAGATCCATGCAGTATAATAACTGAACTTAAAGAGGAGAAAGAAACTATCTGAAATAAGTTTTCAAGGAAAATTTAGACAGGATGAATAATGTGACTTTAATAGGTGCTTTTCAGAAAGTCTGTTTTGCAGATTGGTAGTGTGTATGTCATCTAATAAAAGCTGTGGAAAAAATGACTAATGCTTCATGTGAAATATGCCACTGATACCGTCTTAAAGAACTTTCATTATATATTGTTAAATTCAGTGGTATGTCATGTAAAATAGAAGTGGTTTTCTGTTCACATAAATCAATAGTAAGACAGCCAGGCAATGATAAATAATGTACTAGCAAGTAGAAATAAGAAACACATCTTTTGAAAAATGGCTATCTTATAATCAATCTGGCCCATTATCTTTATTATTTTATTATATATCCAGCCTGTTGTCTGTGGAGTGTGATTTCTTAGAGCAGTTTTAGATTTTGAGGTATGTTTTCGTAATATAATTTAAGTAGGGTTCACTTCAAAGTGGTAAATGAAAGCTGTTACTTTTAGGTTTGATGAATTTGATGAGGCAATTGATGAGGCGATTGAAGACGATATCAAGGAGGCTGATGGAGGAGGTATGTGTCTGATGTTATTTGTTATTCGTTGCAATGATGATAAGATCAAGACCAAATTTATTTTTATATGGGAAGCAACAAATATAATTCTCTCCCTTCAACTTTGTAGTTTACAGCTTTTACTGCGGTATTTTTGGAATCAAACTAAATCATTTCCCTCAGGAATGGCCATCCCAGGTGGCCAAAAGACGCCAAAAAGTATTCGGTCGTGACAGTTAAGTTCAGCTTGTACATGTTTTGATATATGAATGCGAGGAATAAGCATGACAAGAAAACTCTTTGAAATTAATTTTCTAAGTTTTGAATTTGAGATTGGAATGGCAGCTAGTGCTATTGACATTTGTCTTCTGTAAAAACTGGGCTCACAAGTTGGTCTGCAGTTGTACCCCCTAAAGACTGTGTCTACAATGTCATCTTAAAAATGTTAATCCAGATCTATAAGCACTTCTCTGTTGAACGTGAATAAAGTGAAATTATGTTCTTTGTTGCCTGTTAAGGCAACAAGGGCCCAAAACAGTTATCTTCAACCTTAACTTGCCTGGAAAAAACTGCCATGAAATGCTATCCCTGAGCTGTTTGGCTTGTGGCATCGCCACAAAGACACCAGTTTTCAGAAGCTTGGTGGTTGTATACAGAGTACCTGAATATCAGGTGTCTGTGGGTGTGTAGCACAAGACCCATATAATAAACGTAACTAAGTCTCCACAGTAAACCCAGCTTTTCAGGAACTCCACTCCCTGGCCAAACAGAAACTTAAACACTTCATCTCCCACGAAGGATATTCAGCATTATGAAGGAAATGCATTTTCTCATATCTGCCCTACTCAAAAGGCACTAGCACTGATAATAATGTGGGTTGAGGTTGAGTATCAGAATGCGGACACTTATCTGCCAGCTTCTGCATGGACCTCAGTATTTCCAAGTGATCACAGCTGGGACCATGTGTGTCAGGAACAAGACTTCAGACCAAGTCTTGCATGACAATAAAATATTCTGCTTTACAGAAAATAAACCGAAGCTAGAGGCAGGGAAGAAAGATATTTAAAAAGTTAAACAAAAAACAAACTGGCTCTTTTTTCCCCTTTCTGTAACTGAATTCAGGCATTGGCAGAGGCAAAGACATGTCTAATATCACAGGTCACCGTGGAAAAGACATTTCCACTATCCTAGAGGAAGAAAGGAAGGAAAACAAGCGACCGCAAAGGGCTGCTGCAGCACGGCGCAAGAAACGACGGCGACTAAATGACTTGGATAGTGACAGTAATCTGGATGAAGAAGAGAGTGAGGATGAATTCAAGATCAGCGATGGGTAGGTCTGCAATTTAACTTCTGTCACAAGTCACAGACTGCTGCAGGCTGAAACGATGATCAGGAGCATGTGCCCAGAGCTGGAACGGCACTGCACAGTACCAGCAAAAGTCCTCCTGGCCCAGGGGAACGTTGTTGTACTCGAAAAACTGCACTCCAGATCCATGTGCTGAAATCATCCAATCTGTAATTTAACCAAAACATGTTCTGGAAATATTACTGGTATATTTGAGGCTGCACTGTGAGGTGCTATACACCATTATGTTAGTGTAGGAGCCGAATGGGCTCAATTTTCTGACTGATGTGACTGTCAAGCAGAAATCCGTAAGAAAGATGTGGCTAAAATGAGGCTGGTTGTTTCCTTTTCAAAATATGTCCTATTTTGTGGGACTTTTATTGGGCTCGGTTGTCATTTAGAAATTGGAAGAGTAAAATGTCCCCATTTAGAGCATACAGAACCTGACGTATAGGTTCTGAAATTAAATCTTGGTTTTTGAAATCTTGGTTTTTCCTCTCCAGGAGGTAAGAATTTGAAAACAGCCAAATAAGTGGTTTATACTGTAGAAAACAAATAGGTGTCATGTGAGGCTTTAAACGGTAAATGAGCATTGCTCTGGCTAACTGAAGCTCTCTTTCCATGGAATTTTTCATCATTCAGCCTGGGGAATTCCTAACATTAAAAAATTTATTAATAATTTTAGATGTCCTTTACACCTCAGTGAAGAAAGATAATGAAGCATGAGGTCTAGGCTCGTTACCATCAACACTGAGAGCTTAACACCTTTCACTGAGTCAATTTACTAAGCGTATGGATAATCTGTATGACACAGATGCAAATTTTGAGCTTTGTTTTTCACCTGTGACCTTGCTGAGGACATTTCAGCACACCCTGAATAGTTGAGCTAAATGTGCTGGAAATTTCCAATCGATGAGTATAGCTTGTGGAGATCTTGCAGAATTAATAGTGCATTGATCTGTTAAAGTGTGCTCATGCATTTTCAACTCCATCCTCTGCTGAATGCCTTCTGGATGTTATACTGGAATTTACACTTGGCAGGTGGCCACATGCAAGTGACTGTGTGTGTACCTTCAGTGCTCAACAGTTTTCAAAAAAGCATTGGCTCACTCTTGGAAATGATGGGAGTGATACAAGCTAATAAGTTTGCAAGATGCATGTTTTGCATAAGAGCAATAGTTTTCTGTTAAGACATGATATTCTAATTCTCAGAAATTGCGTAGGATGTAGGACAGGGCTTGGTTCCTGAAGGGGTGGTCATGTCTGCTAGAACATGGTGGGTGTTTTTTTCCCCTCCACGGGTGATGCTCATCCATAGTTATTGCTGTGCAGATGTTACATTGCAGTGGACTATATGAACACTCTAGAATGTGTCCTATGTAAATGTCACCTGCAGTCTCATTTTGACAGACTGTTCATATTCACCTGCTGTTTTAATCTGCTGTGTAATGCACTGTAAAGCCATATCCCACATATACAACTGAAACCTGATGTCAGTGATGGCAACTTGCTCCCTCTGGATCTTTGCATTATTACTGTGAGATTTGTGCGGGTATTTTTGTGTAAGACAATACTTGCTTTGCATATATCACTTGCTTGTAAAATACAAGTGCTGTTTTGATCCTTTGTTTCCAATATCTGTCTCTGTTGTCTGTGGTCTCTTTTTGAACAGATCTCAGGACGAGTTTGTTATATCAGAGGAAAATATGGATGAAAGTGAAGATGACCCACCATCAAACGAAGACAGTGATTCAGAGTTCTGTGCCCGCATATCCAGGCGACACCTCTCCAGGCCCATGAGGCAAAGCAGGCGGTTACGAAGGAAAACAGTCAAGAAAAAATATTCTGAAGATGATGAAGATGAAGATTCTGAGGACAATTCAAGCAGAGAATCTGGTGAGTGTAAGAAGTCTTAGATCTATTATATTTTCTGTACTGCAGAGAGGAAGGGTGGAAGTCTCAGTTTCCTGTCATGACTGACACTACCTTGTTTGCTCGCTTTGGTCAGGTCAGAGGTCATCTTTGCTGTAAAGCAGTTTGCTACTTGTTCTGCTGTGAATATTCTGCAGGAAACTGGGATTGAGTACTAGGTTCTTGGCATTTTAAGTAATTATGTATTTGAATGAATGCTTGTGCTGTGATTCAGAAGGCCACCTTTGTAGATAGTTTCAGCTACTCCGTATCTTCCTGTTCAGCATATGATTGCAGGGAAGAGAAAGGATGGAGGCAAAACTGTACTTCTTTATACAGGTACTTTAAGCCCTTCCGAATACCTTTGAAAAATCTTCTGAAAGAAACATTTTCCCCACCTTAATTTGGAAGAAAATTCCTTTGGCTGTATGCTTTCTGTGTTCTCTGGCAGACTGGAAAGCAAACGGTAACACCTTGAATCTCTCTCTTCTACAATCATCCTTTTTCATCTTTAGTAACTGAAGACTCTTGCATAACAGGAGAACCTAATAATCCACTTTTTTCTACTTGTCCTTCAACTAGTTCGCTTCCTGTTTGCACAGTTTGAAGTGGGAGGATAATATCCATGCAATACTTAAACCTTTTCATGATTGGCATCTTTCTCTGAAGACTGCCCTCCTTGTTTCTGCTTTGCTTGAGACCCAGTCCTAGAAAGTGCCAGATATATAAGCCCTTATTTTCACTTATTTTTATTGTGAATTGAAGGTACCAAGTACACAGGAGTGCTAACTTACTGCAGTGTGTGTTACCTTTCCAGTGTTTTATCTGTCTCTAGAATATAGATGAACATGTTGGAGTATATTGCTTTGAAGTTCTGGTTTCCAAGAAGAGGGTTCATGTATGGACAGATGAGGATAGCTATATGGCACTTAAAATAGTTGTGGTCTCCCTGTCCTGAATGCATCGTGGCACTAATCGTAAGCTATCAGTGAAGATACTGGCAGAAGTCTAATGAGATTGCTCATCTATTCTGTGATACACAGGACCAGCTATTTGTTTCCTGATGGACACATATCTGTGATAATCAGCTGGCTCCAGTATCATTCCATACATATCTAAGAGTATAGTCTTAACTATGTGTTTCTCTCTTTTACCCCTGCTATTGTCCCTCAGGATCCTGCTCTAAGCCTATTTTGAGCTAAGGAAGTAAGGTACACTGCGAGTGGCTTTGTTTTCAGTCTCCAGAGATGGACTTTCTTTCTGAAGGTGGTTGTTCTTGTTGACTTGCTCTGATTCTTTCTCTGATATTTTAGGAAGTAAACGGGATGCCGCTTTGATCTGTGACTCATGTCAGGCACTAACTTAGGAACAGTATGTGATACGTGTAGAAATGTGTCTTGGGATAATTGTTCTGGCACAGCTCAGTGAAAAAACAGCTAAAGTTGATTCAAGGCTGTTTTCAGCTGATGTAAATAAATTTATTTCTTAAAGACACTATCTGCTGGTGTAGGACAAACTGTGAATGATGGTAAATTTCTTCTATACAGTTTCTGTTTTAAGCAAACTTACAATTGAGTGAGACTGATTTTTGTTGTTAATTTAAATTCTGTAACTCCGAGCTTACCTGGAGTTTCATCTTGTCAGTGGTCTTTCATCTACCTATTCTTAAAAGGGTTTGAGTAGAGTACAATTTATTTAAAGTTTAAAGACAGAAGGTGCTTTGCAGTGTCAGTGGTAATGTGCATCATCAGCTCCAATTCAGTAAGGTTGTTTGAACTGTCAGGGACTACAGAGGAGGCATCTTTGGTACCAGTAGAGATGAGGGAACAAAAACACTGAAAGGAAACCTTCTGGAGGAGTCTGAGGGAGACAGGGAAAGGGTTTGTGAGAAGATTTTAAAATCAGGCAATTCTATACTGGTGGTGAGTGGGGGAACTGATGCATGGGCCTGGAACGGGTCAGGGTAACGAGGCATTATGGTTGAGACTCTTGTGCTGGAAGAGCACGTGATTTTATTGCTGCTGGTCTAAAGCTTATCTTTAGATAAATGTTTTAATGGAGTAACACACATCACTGTTTCCTTCTGTACAGAGAGTGGTGATTACACAGATTACAGTGATGATGATTACCTGGAAACCAGGAGGAGAAGATCAAGACGGAATCAGAAGAGACAAGTTAATTATAAGGAAGATTCAGAAAGTGATGGCTCACAGAAAAGTGTCCGATATGGGAAGGAGTTAAGAAGAGTTCATAAACGCAGGCTCTCCACTTCAGATAGTGAAGGTAAAATAAACAGTCCACCGTTTGCAGGAGGTGGTATATGTCAGCATTAGCATGAAGAGGAAACTATATATAATTCAGAGATTTTGGAGAATCTTCTTTCTAGAGTTCCTTGATGTTTCTCAGAAACTGTTTCCTTCTGAAACAGTCCACTGGTACTTTATGATGCACTGTTACGGTCACTTCTCAAAGTCATCGTTGTCCCTAATCCTGACTTTTAGGTCTGAACTGACTGTGTCAGGCATGGAGTGCTGGGATTCCAAAATTGGCACTAACGTAACTGTTTCACCGCTTTTCTGTTAAGAGGTCACAAAGCTTCGTCCCACAAATCTTTAAAGATTCTCTTTTGTAAGAGAAAAAGCTATTACTTCTGGTGCCCTGGTTGTGTTTGTGCTGGTGGTTAAGACTCATTCAATGTCCTGTTTGAAGGAGCTGCGATAAGTACAGAGGAAGCGTGCTCTCAGTAATGTCAGTCACACCACGAGCGACTGGTGTGCGTTTTGATGTAGAAATAGCTTTTACAAAAGCAACCACTGACTTTGGGTGCTTTGCATTCTGGGCGCCCAGCTTATGAGACCTTAGGTCCGGCTGTCAGAGACGCTGAGTGGTACGGGTTGCAATGGATGCCAGACTTCCTCAGAAAGTCAGCTGCGCTTGACAGGCTGAGCGCCTCTGATTTGTAGGTAAGTTTTGGAAGTGCTGGCCTGAGTTTACACAATGTTAGAGGATCCTCGGTAGATGAAGGGAAACAAGTATGTAATGCAATTGTATAGTATCTTGAAAACTTGATCTTACACTTCAATACAGTCTGTTCTCAGAAGTAGGATGTGTAGGCTCTCTGCGAAGAATCTGTTGTATGGTGGCCAAGTTTTTTGCTACCAGCACTGGTACCTTTCAACAGTGCCTGACTGACAATGTCTTTTCTCCATGAAATCGCAATTCTTCAGGTATTTTTGGTACTGGCTTTTTACATATTTAAATCTGCACCATTTAGTACCATTCTAGTGCTCTCCCACAGTATGTTATAAAATATGTAGCAGCGTTACTGGAAATGTAATTATGTTGAAAATATAGGAACTCTGACAGAGTCTCTACCAACTCGAATCTACGTTAAATAATACCCTTTAAAATGACAACTCGCATGCATTTCTAATGGAAGTCACAAGGAGACAACAAATGGTGCTTGCCATTTGATTTTTCAGTCTCTGTCTTTTCTCACCTAAGCCATCAAAGGTCAATGTAAAGGCTGTCAGCGTGTAGGCAATATTCCATTAAAGGGCAGCAAACTTCAGGTGAGGGGCAGTGTTCACATGCTTGAAAGAAGGTGTGTATAATTTGGGGGTGGTGGGGGTATAGCCCAGTTGTGTGTGTGTGTATATATATGTGTCTTTTTACAATAGTAGAGCCAATCTGTGCTATCTCCGTTTCTGGAAGGGTGTAAAGCAGGTGCTGTGAGGTTAGGGATACAGTTCTGCGATATTCCCAGGCTGCAGTTATCTCTTTCAGGGGAGAATACCTGCCTCCACCGCCTCTGGTGGTATTCAGATTAGAAACAGAATATCAATAAATTGTTGGTCTTTGCTACTTGAGCAGTTTATTTGAAACGTAAAAAGAATGCAAGCATTTTGACATGGTTGGGGAACCTGGGGAAGCAGACGGAAATGTGTGTGGTGAGAGAGAGAGATGGCTTTTTAATGAGTGTGAAAGATGAAAAATAAAAAAGTGTAATTGTTTTGGTTGCACTCAGATTTGCTAATGGCTTTAAGTCTGCTGCTTATTCCAGAGAGCTACACATCTAAGAACTCGGAAGATGATGAATCCACAAAGGAATCAAAGCGATTGATTCGAAAACGTCGGCGAAGTACAGATGACTACTCTGAGGAAGAAGGAGAGGATGAGGAAGACGAAGGGAGGCCTGTCCGCAAACGGCTGAATCGAATCGAAACAGATGACGAAGATAACTGCGAAAATACTAACAACGACGCAGAAAACGCCGCTCCTGCAAATAAGCTGCCAGCACCACAAGCTCCTCAAGACACCACCAAGAAGCACTGCTACCGGATAGAAAGCGATGACGAAGATGACTTTGATAACGTAGGGAAAGTAGAGAGCCCTTTGGACTACAGCCTGGTAGACTTGCCTTCCACCAACGGACAGAGCCCAGGTAAAACCATTGAGAACTTGATTGGGAAGCCAAGTGAGAAGACCCAGGCCCCCAAGGACAGCACAGCCAGCGCCAGCCTGGCGCCCAACGGGACGGGGAGCGGGCAGGAAGCGGTAGGGCCGGAGGAAGATGAAGATGAACTTTTGAGAGTGACTGACCTTGTTGATTACGTCTGTAACAGTGAACAGTTATAAGACTTCCATTTTTGTGCTAATTTATTCCACGGTAGCTCATACCAGCGGGCCAGTTATTAAAAGCTGTTTTATTTTTCCTAGAAAATTCTCCACTACAGTATCACTTTTTAGAAGCAAGAATTTCACCAGTCCTGCAGTCTTTCTGTGAAGTGACCAGTTTTGAACTTTGAAGATGAATTGCTGTAAATTCCCTCTCTTACCCCCCCCTTCTCCTTCCAAGTCCATGGTCCTGGGTAATTTCACTCACAAAAACCTTATAACAACAAGAGATTTGTATATTTTTGACTTTATATTTCCTGAGTGCATACAAATTTGTGGAAATGGGTGGTCTAAGAAAGCATTCCAAATCGGTCAGGGCCCAAACCGGAACTGGGGTGGGTTTGGCTCAAGGGGTGGGGTGGGGAGGGTGGTGCAGAAGCACTTGTGCTTTAGCTTTTTCATATGAGATATATATTATATTTAAATGTTCACAACTTAGATTACAACTTAACAGACAGTTAAAAAGAAATTAATGTCTGTACTGTCGCATTTTGTGAGTTGTAGGTTAACATACCATAGCTCATTTTAGTAATCACCTTCATGGAAGCAGTTTGATTTTAATACTGGAGGCAAACGGAATTATTAGAGGCCAAGAAGGTACCAGAAGCAAGAACTACTATCCATTATGACTTGCAGACTTTCCTAATAAACATCCTTTAAAGTGTTTGTACAGTAAAGTGTACTGTAATGAAGTTTTTGACAGTCGAAACATGCTAGCCATGAATTTATAAAGCTATCTCATGCATAGTTCATCAGATGGTCTTCGATGCACAGTGTCTAGTGCGAGGACATATCGGTGTGAAGTTGTCTGTAGGTTGGATGGCATCTTGACGTGCTGCAAACTTGTACAGACACAAGAACCCTGCGGTAGCTGCCCGGCCACTCGAGTTTCACCATCTGTTGGAGTATTCTGAATGAAAAAGTGTTTGTACAAACAGCACTGACCACAGAATGACAGTGCATCAGAGGATTGAGGGCTTTTCAAATAAACCGTGACTGGTCCATTCATGTCTTTAATATCTACTTCAAATTGAAGTAAACAAATGGAACAGTTTTCCTTTTGGAGGTTTTCTGTTTGGGGTTTGTGTGTGTTTTTGTTTTGATTTTACTTATCTGCCTGGATGTATTAGCAGGTTTTGAATGTAGTATTGGCCTTTGGCCATTAGAATTTTCTTAAAGTACATTTTAATAATCGTCATGTGACCAACTGATTTCAAGAAGGCAGTATTTCTGAGAGAAAACGCTTGACTCCAAGACATCTCATCAACTTTTGAGTAAGCATTAAGTGGTATGTGCTTTTATTTGAAGAAAAAAAAAAAAAAAAAAAAGACAAGAAAAGATAAAACACAACATGGGGCACATAAAGAACAGAGCTGAAATTTGTTTTGGGTAGCATTCAGTTTTCTCTTTACTCTGAATTAAGATGCAGGCTGTATCATTTGTACATGTTGTAGCCCACAGACAGCTCAAACAGATCTGCCAAACACTGAAATCCAAAAAGGTCACATCTATTAATCCTTTTGCTCTGAGATTTGGATTTTTGACTGGTGCTTATGTCCATTGCCGGCAATGGATGCACCAAAACTGCTGCTGCCACCGAGGAGTGAGTTCTCCTTTCCTGCCCCACCTGATTCCCTTCCATTATATTGTATTTACTAGTCAGTCATTAAGCACTTCTGTTTTCTTGTAATAAAACAGGCATTAGGCCTTTACTAAATACCTCTTTAGAAAACCTAGATCCAAAAATTATCTACCTTCTGGCCTTGAAAATCTTGGTTTTGTTTTTCCACCTCTTTCTCCACAACTTCCAGCAGAACCACTCCATGACTCTTACTCATTTGGGTTCTAGCAGTGCACATATCTTGCTATAAAACTAGATTCAGCAGAGACTCAAATGGATGGAACTCACTCATTATCTCCTGTGCTAAGCAAGCTTGTGATTTTAAAAAATGAGAAATCACTCTTTCTAAACAAGAACTACATTCTATTAAGGATTAAATATTTTTTCACCCTGCTGATGTTTTCATAAGCAGATATTAAAACAGGGTAGTAAAAACCCACAGACGTTTAGAATGAGTTCTTAAAAACATATGCAGCATTTTAAGCTACTCTAGTATTTTCCTTTGCTTAGGTGATACATAAATGTAGTGCTTCTACATTTCTAATATACTTGTGTTTTAAAACAAGCAAGAACACATGGCTTTCACTTCTCAATGTTAGTAATTGCTGAGCATTTTTAATACTTGCAATGCAAACTGATTTGTGTGCAGCAACACTGTGTGACCGATCGTTTCTTGTTTTGGCAGTGCCATAATCTTTATTTTGCTGCCTGATGGAGCCTTTTAGTATCTGATCAGTGCTGCAGCAAACATTCTCTTGGTTGTAGAGTCAACCCCAGTGTTAAGTACTTAGGGGGCAAGTAATTGTGATTGTAGGAAAATACAAAAAAGCTACCAAATACACTGACCAGGAAAAACTCGAGTACTGAGTTAGGGAGTGATGTAAAAGCAGGAAAGACCAGGAAGCAGAGTTGGAGCATTGAAACTTACACCAGGACCGCTGCGTTTTAAAAATGCAGAATGACAAGTTGTTACCAAGTTTTACTTTCTATAGGTCACTTTTCGAAAAAAACTTTTCTGTCTTCTAAGAAGTCACCTTTGGTACCCGAGACAGCTTCATCCCCAGGATCCAGAGTTCCCCCTTAGACCAGTGGCAATGTGCAGGTAAAAACTGCAAAAAATGCCCTAGAAAGTCTTAACATTTTCGAACTTACTTCTCTAATTTCTAAGACTTCCTGCTTGGTGGAAAATGTACAGTCTCCTATTTGGGAAGACATTTTCTGACATGAGGCAGGCTGACTGCCACACAGGGTTCATGCTGCTGTAGTACGTATATATGATTCCAGAGTGGAAACATCCTCCTGGTGTCCTTACAATCTTGTGCTCTTCTTTACTCATCATGAGATCAGAAGTTAAATGTTTTGGAATAGTGATCTTCAGATGTGGCTTTGGACTAGCAGAAACCACAAACCGTAGGAGAAATGGAGTGAAAACTGGCCAGGGATTTTTTTTTTTTTATATAATGGATTTAAAAGTACGAGAACAAGCAGCTATTAGCTGAACATAAAAAGCATTTATTCAACAAACTTGTTTATTCCACAGGTTGTCACTAAAAGTTTTGTCTTTTTAGACTGCAAACTCTTCAGAGCATAACTGATCGGGAAGAAGGTGAATTGGTTTCTATGTGCAGTTCAAGTAGCATTGATGAGGGGAAGAACCTGTAGGTCAAGTGGAGGAATGGACATTTTTTGTGTCACGAGGATAAATGATGGCTATTTGCTTTCTTGCATGCAGCCTGTGTGACTGTCAGGGACACAAAGTGCACAGCGGGCCCGCTCTGTAATGAGTGAATGTGGTGTGTTAATCCAACCAGAAGGATGGTAAAATTAAGAACTCAAAGTTTCACCACAGTTGCTGTCTTCTAGTTATGGAGTCTTCTAAACCTGAGCGTATTCTTGATTTAAAAATGGAAAATAACATCACCAAACTACTAAAAAAACCCTTAGTGTTGAAATCTGCTAGGAAGTGCCGAACAATCAACTCTTTGATAGTTTGACTTTGTACATGTTGAATTACACTATAAAATCACTGCATCTTCCTGATTTTTTTTTAATGAAAGGATTGCTCCAACAGCATTTGAGAAACAGAGATGCTTTTTTCTAAATTGCTCGTTTATGAAGTATGTCACCTTCAAGATTTCTCTGCATTGAAGCGTCTCGATTACTCTTCATCTCTTGGGAGCTAATGACTTAGTTGAACTTGTTTTCTGTTCACTGCTGCCTTTGTATTGCTGTGTCTGAACTCTTGGCAAGAGACCTTACTCAAACAACCTCAAGGGGAAAAAACTATGTTCACAAAAGAAGAATTGTATGGTGGTGGTACCCTTGTGTTCTGATTTGTCTTCACATCTATCATTTGAACTGGATTGGTATCCAGATGCTGCAACTGATTAATAATTTTAATAGTTCTTTGTCAGGGTGTCCATTTTATACCTATGTTTTCAGGTGCTTATAAGTTGGGTTTCAATGCTCTTCAGTATGGAGGCCTGGTCTAAACTTTCAAATAATTGTTTCAAATTACATATTTTCACAAAGTTTTATGAAAAGTAAATAAGGAATTTTTATGGCACCTGGCTTTTTAATTTACTTTGTACACAGTAATTTAAATAAATTATGGCAGTAATGCTGGCCCCCGGAACTGGTCTGATGAAGAGATTTGTATCATGTAGTTCAAAATGGCAATATATAGGCCTTGAAAATTGTTTTTGGTACATGTGCAGTGACTACTATTCACGGGCTTGTGTCACAGAGATGCAGCGTGCACCCTACATATGTATTTACATTTGACATATGCTTCCAATTCACTGGGTATATAAAATCCTTAAATATATAAGTATATATATATATTTAAAAAAAAAAAAATCAAATATCTTCAACCAAAACAGTAACTTTCTGAAAAAATCTGTATTGAACATGGTGGGGGAAACTCCAGCAATTCACATGAAGGAGCACAATTCTTCAATTCCTTAAGTGTTTAAAACTTCTAGAGAAGCATTTAAGATACTGTCTGAAGTAATGATTTGCAGGATCGAGCCCGCATTTCCTGGTAGTCTTTTCTTCCTCCCCTTCCCTAACAGTTGGGGAAGGGACTATATCTCACTTAAAATGTTGGAAGGCAGAAAATAAAAAATCCAACAGAAATTATCCTTATTTTTTTTCAAGTATATACTGATGTAAGAAAAATCCTGTATGACTAACTTTTGGTGCTTTACAGCCGAATACCCAATCTGAGACCTAGCAGAGAGTTCTGGCTTCAGAAATATTTATCAATTGAAAATTATTTCTGAAGCTGGACACCCAGCAGTTGGGGTATCAGAGATTACTAGCTGCTTCTGAAAATGCACATCACTTACCAAGCTCTTATTTTAGATTAGGTGTAACTAACTGAGATGATAGTTCCAAACAGCAAAACGCGTGCTTGGGAACCGACTGTCCCAATGCTTCAGAGTAATTTAACTTATTTTGTATATTGCAAAAGATGTATATTGCTTAGGATGACACTTAAAAAAGATTGTGTACAGCTTCTGGGGGAAAGAATAGAACACTCTAAAGTAGATAAGTTTTTATAATTGAATATGTGGTATAAAGGCTCCAGATTTAACTGCAATTAAAAGGAAGTCCTCCAACTTTGGTTTTTGACTATCATTTTGTAAATGCTGGCACCCCACACCTGAGCTGAGAAGCAGGAGAGGGGACAGTACAGCAGTTAGAGGGGACACGTGCTTAATGAAAGCACGTGTGTCTGCAAATATATCTCCTATTGCTACATATAACCCCAAAGGTTACTAACGAGAACTGAACGATAGAGTCGCTCTATCCGTTCAGTTGGTTTACTTTGTGCACTTTGCAGCACTTTGTGTATAGTCAGTCTCACTGGTTCCCCAGGTGCAGACAGAGTCACTTTCTCCTGCTGTTTGAACGTGTGTGCGAAGAACAGCAGGAGATGGGGAATGGATGGAGGGAAGTGGAAAGGAAAAACGTGTATGCAAACCCATGCCATTTGCAAGACAGGTCTTGGACAGGCCTAAAAACTACTTCTGACTCGCCCTTTAAAGACTGTATTTCCAATGGAAGGTCTCCATTTAGGTGAACCATCCCGATGCCCTCCTTTTCTCATCCAGACCTCCAAAGTAACAGAAAAATCTACTTGAGGTCTCTTTCCTTGAGGGAATCAGTAACGTTCCAGCAGCACAATGCGGATGTGGAGAAAATTAGGATCAGTCCATAGAGTATTAGGACAATGTTTGCCTCTGGGGACGTGGGTCGGAGTCCACAGTTTGCTTTGTTGTTTGTTCCTGTGTACCACACAACTAAACTTAGATTAGTCTGTCAGAACTTGACTTAAATGATTCTATGGGGATAAAATCCTTCTACTAAGACATATGGTAGGCCTAGTTACCAGTGCACCGTTTGTTAGTTAGAGCAGTTAAAAGTCCTTAATAGATACTAATCTGCTACTCAAGTTAGGGGTAGAAAAGGAATTCAAATCATAAAGCTATAAGCCCCCCTTCGTTTTCCATTTCATACTTGTTATATGGACTCTAAAATCTTGTACAGTACCTTATTCCTATACTATATTCATTAAAATGGTACTCCTCCCCCTAACTCACATTAAAATGGTTTGTTGTTAATGCCAACGCGTTAGGCTGCTAGTTCCTGCCTGTGTTTCACAGCCCTCCTGCAGCAGCCAGGAGATGGTTTGTGACCGACGCAAAAGCGTAACATCACTGTTCTTGGTATGCACAACGGTTCTTGCATAGGCCCAGATCCTGTATGTTAGACAAACATGGGGTATATTCAATGTCCCAGGTAACAGAACAGGCTACTCACTAGCAGAATGGTTATCCTCCAATATTCTGTGAGAATTAGATCAAACTTGCCAGATAGGTCTCTTGAAATTTAACATATACTTACATGAAATACAGTTTTGTCTTACTCCTGTGTGCTGTTTGTATGTTTGCAATGAAACCTTGAGTTCCTTAAAAGTGGTCTCATTCACAGTTGGCCTCATTTTTTATTTTCTTTCTCTAAAGAGTTAATATGGTAAAAGTTCCACAAGCAGAGCTCTTTATGTAGAGTTTAACCCTTGCGTTTCTTGAGTCCCTAGGTTTTTCAGTCTCTCTTCAATCATGACTTGCTACAATATCAAAGGGAAAGGACTGAGGGGACACACATTGTGTGTGCGTGGAGGGGGGGGGTTACGCTGAAAAAACTGGAAGTGTTATTCTTGCTGCACATAAACTAGGTGGTGCTTTCACTGTCCCCCCCACACACCAGAAATATCACGTGCATGTAAAACATGATGCGTTCAAACTTTTTTAAATGGAAGTCATGGTGGCCTCAGTGCTCAAAGGGTTAACTGCAGTTTATTAACAGCTAATGTTTTTAGATTTGCAGTACACAACTGTTTAAATACTGTATTCCTTGTAAATGAAGTAAAAAAAAAATGTTAAGGCTGGTGCCAATATTTTTGTTAATGAATTGTTCAGCGTTGTCTCTCACTACAGTCTGGTCAGAACTCTTCGTGTATAAGCTGGGCCTGAAGCCATTTTATAGCTTGTAGGCCTAATTGTGTAACTTTTCTTTCATACTGTTTTTGTTATAATATCTACTGTCATTTCTTTCATATAAATATGACATGTAAATTGTCATAATAAAAAAAATTGAAATAACTTGATGTACAAAGTATAATGTGTATTGAAGCAACAAGTGCTTTTTAATGGTCATCACACATGCACATACATTTCTTTTTGACTTTTAAAATGAGCTCCGACTAATGGCTGCTGCGTATCGTTCCAGCCTGTGATGGTGCCACTGCCTACCTTGGGAATGGGTAACTCCTGTTTTGATTTTGTTATGGCAGCTCAATTGACAGAGCTTTTATTTCTTTGATCAGCTCTGGCTGACAGTGGGGAAGACCTGATGGATTTATTTTTGCGGTTGTGATGATTTTCTGTGTGTGTTCAATCTTCTACTCAATTTTTGTATCTATTTTCATAGTGATGTTGCAGTCACTCAACAAAAAACAGTAACTTGAACAGGGTTCAGGGCTTGCCTTATGCTACAACATCCATTTTGTTTGCTGTTGGAGTTGTACAATTGCTAAATTAGTGGTGAAAAAAAAAAAAAAAAACAGGAAGAAAACCTGCCTGGTTGTTATCAGTATTTGCAACGGTCATACTTGCAGCTGGCACTGCACCCAGCTAGGCTGTTCCAGCATACATCTCTGAGGTTTCCATGTGGTGCCAATGAGAGAGGAGCTAGGGTTATTTATTTAGGCTGAGATGTGTAAAACCACTAAATGGAAGCCTGCAGCGAAGCACTGAAGATGTAGATATTCCGACACATGGCTATGCCAAAGGACATCAATGATGTTTTAAGACATTAACGGGAAATGGTCAGGGAGAGAGAAGTGAATTGAAGAAAAGGGTGGCTTCTCTCCGCATGAATCACTGAAGCCTGTCCATCTTTTTTGTTTCTTTGAATGTATCTGTGGTTATAATCAAGATACTGTGTGTGCTTGTAACAATGAGAAATTGCTGTGAAATCCATCCTCTTGCTCCAAATGCAATGCCAGTATTTTACATTTTCCATTTTTGGCAGATTCCAGGTGCTCAAGTCTGAACCAGCCACCTTACAGCAGGCAATGCTGTGTAGCCCGTGGATAGAAACAAACTCCCTTGGGTGGCAAGTCCTACCTTCTGTCCCAAGATGACTCTTAACGCTGTGAAGTTAACTGCTACTCTACGTTGCCTTTAAACACAGCCCTCGTTGACTAAATCATTCTTGGACATCCAGTGTTCAGGCATCTGTGTGGGGGTGGATCCTAACTCACTTTTTAAAGCTCTTACAGCTGAGGAAAAGAACTTTCAAACAGTGCCATTCTGTTTTCTCCATGAATGTAGAGAAAATGTCTGCCTACCCACTCTAAACTTGTGTTAGAGGCAACAGTACTGGGGTATGAAGTATCTGGATCTTGTAAAATAGGAAGATGAGGATTTCTCCTCCTCCCTAATGCTTCAGCCTCAAAACCAACCTCTCAGCCTGGACTTAAACCATCCTTTTTCCTGTAATCTTTTGGAAGAGCAGTATGCAAGCACAAAAAGACTTAGGTTTGTGTGCAGGAGCAGAAATGAACTCTGTATTGTTCCACTGCAATGGCTTAATTCGTGTCACACAGAAATCTTAATTCAAAACAATGTAAAGGAGCTGTGTGATTTCCAGTTAACTGTAAAGCTGGTGAGGGCTCTCCATGGCTGATACTGGCACCCATGCTAGATATCTGGGGATGTGAGCAGGAATATTGATTTATAACTGCTGAGTGAATTGGTGTTCCCATGTATTTGCATCTCTTCCCACCAGCTGCTGCAGTCTGATTTGTATTCATGGATGGATTGTAAATTTTTGCTTCCAGATGAGCACTCGTCTTGGCGTGACAAACTTGAAGATGGTCGACAAGCTTCCTTATCTCCTATTGCCTCTGTCGTTTTTGTCAAGCACTGTTTAAATATCACATCATTGTGGAAGTTGCTTTGATTTTGGTCAAGGTGGTTATTTGTATCTAAATAATTATATGCATAATTAGAATCCAAAATGGATAGGTGTGGTTGAGGAGCTTTCCAAAGCATTTTAGAAGGCTCAGCCTCAAAGAACCATGTTATGTTCTTGTTCCCCCTAGATTCTTCACATTCTCTTTTTCCAGAATGTGCTGCTTTGGCTCTTTGCTATCAAAGACCATGACTAGGAAAGTCCAGAGAAGGGAAAGACACAGACCTAATTGTTAGTAATTGTTTTGCGTTTGTGAGAACCTGGGTTTGCACACAGGTAGGTAAATGACTCCTTAACAGTAAATTCAAACTGATTAAAGGGAAGATTAAAAACCATGACAAGGTAACCACTGCATGGGCTCTTGGTATGTTGCTACAGCAGGAGCATTTGCCAACCTGTAAAGTCAGGAGAAGAGATGTTTGCAGTGATGCTGTCTCACTGGCGTGAGTTATCAGGAGCATCCCCTGACAGAGATGTACTTCACTGGTGCAGACTGAATGCTACCGTCTATTTACTCACCCTGTTCTGGTATAATACCCATTTCTCACTGCTTGAGCATGTGTCACAAGAGAATCTTGCTGCAGAAATGGTGTAAATCCCGGGGAAGCTGCATGGAGCATGCCAATCCCTGATGGCAGCTCACCAGGTACATACTGTGGTAGCATCGGGCTCCTGATCCCAACTTCATCACTGCTAAGGGAAATCAGCTACATATCCTTTAAGCAATTCAGGTACTTGTGACTTTTTCTTCTCCATGTGTATTTGGGCACTGTCCATCCATCTAAAATTCCCTTTCCAGTATCTGGTAATGGTCAGCAAAAAAGCCGCTGTGATTTATTTTTTTCCCCTCCTTTTGTTGCCTGTCCAACAGCGATTTACAGGCCAAAATACGCGCACTGCTCATCAGTGGTCCTCAGGCAGTACTGTCAGCGACCACCTCTGCTTCTCTTTCCCAGGTAACGGAAACTTTACTTCAAAAACTGCCAGACACAGATGATCCTGGATCACAGACCGCAGCACCGCGGCGAGAGGCCACGACTCCCCCCCCTCAGGAAGATGGACGCTGCGGGGTGAAACA